GTAATGTGTGATAAAATGGATCAATATTTCAGTCCGAGAAAGAATATAACATACGAACGTTACGTCTTTACGAGGATCAAACAAAATGAAGGGAAAAGTACAGTGAGTTTTATTACGCGATTAAAAAAACAAGCAGAGTATTGTGCCTTTCCAAATGTTACAGAGACAGTGAAAGATCAGTTCATATCATCGTGTTATTCTTTAAAATTAAAACAAAAACTCCTTAAAGATAGAGAAATCAATCTTGAGAAATGTATTGAGATTGGTCGAAACATGGAAGTGTCAGAACAACAGGCAAAAGAAATGTCTTATAAAAAAGCAAATGTATGCCCAGAGGAAATCGACGTTGTAGATCATTTAAAAAAACAAACCTTTCTCAAAAGAAGAAAACAAACGACAAACATTAAATTGAGACCTAGTCGAAATGATAATATAGACAAAAAAGAAAATAACTTGTTATGTTTTCGATGTGAGGAGAAGTACTTTGTTGGACACCAAAATGATTGCAATGCCATGGGAAAAATGTGTTTCAAATGTCAAAAGAAAAATCATTTAGCTATTTGTTACCGAAATACTCTACAACCGTTGTATAGGAGAAACCGACAAGTTAATGAAATAAATAACAAAGCTAAAAGTGAACACAGCTCAGAAAATGAATCAGAAGAAACGCTTGCCCTGACATGTAGTTCAACACGAAAAAGACAATCTAATAAAACAAAAATAATAAATGTAATAGTGGAAAATATCACGATTAAAATGATTATTGACTCAGGTTCCAGTGTGAACTTAATTGACAAAAATACCTTCGAAAGAATTAGAAGCAACAATCCTAATTTAATAATCAAGAAATCATCAACAACCATCTTTTCATATGTTTCGAAGCTTTTAAAATTAATAGGTTGTTTCAAAGCTGAAATTGAACCTAAAAACAAAATAACTACAAACAATATATATATCGTAGTTAAAAAATAATGTTGGAAATATAATGGGAATTGAAACTGCTAAGGAGTTGAACATTTTAAAAATTGCAGAAAGTGTTAAGTTTGTGAATAATAAAGAACACTATATGAATTCAGTGGATAATAAGTCAGTTAAAGTTGTACAGCACTCTAACGTGTGTAAAAACATTGATGATAAAATCAAACTTCCAACGAATCAAAATGATAATAGTTTTGAGCATATTGATTCAAATTGTAAAGTCACTTTAAAATTTAAAAATAATTTAACAAAGTTAATTGCAAAATACGAAGACATATTTGAAGGACATGGTAAATTAAAAAATTTTCAATGAAAAATTTATGTAGACAAAAACATACAACCAGTTGCGCAAAATTTGCGTCGTTATCCTTATCATCTTCGAAAAGACATTCGAGCAGAGTTGAAGCGACTTCAAGAAGCAGACATGATTGAAAAAGTTGAAGGACCACAAGAATGGGTAAGTAATTTTGTAATTGTACCAAAAGCAAATAACACAGTAAGGTTATGTCTTGATGCTAGAACGATAAGCAAAGCAATTAAACGTGAAAGATACCTAATACCTACATTAGATTCAGTAATAGTTGAAATGCATGGTTCAAAAATATTTGCCAAACTAGACATAAAGGAAGCCTATACTCAGGCTTCCTTTATGTCTAGTAGGCTCTATACTTTTTGCTCAAGAGAAAATAAAATTTTTCGAAGGGTAAAAATATATGAAATCATCCAGACCATGACACCCTTACGTCTCAGAATTTGTTTATTTTTACACCACTTGCAGTCCATATCAAAAAAATAATAACTGCGAAAGTTTTAGTTAAAAATACCAATGGGTTCTATAGATATTGTCACTTGAAATAATGCTGACTCAGCATTTTAGTGATTTTCTGAAGCGACTACAAAGCAACTTTGACATATAGTATCTTCATAATGACTTGGGGAAATTTCCTAAATTTTGGTGCTCTAATAGATTTTAACTTGAGGAATCCAAAAATAGCACTCTTAAGACTCGATTATCTCAAGAAATGCCTCATTTATCCAATTTTGTTCAAAATTATTGGCTTGTAAATTAGTGATTTTTGGAGGTAAAATAAAGACTGTGGCCCAAAATCCCGAGTAAAAATTTTAATTGTATATCATTATTTCATCTTAGGTCTACTGAAAAAAATTAGATTCATCAATTGTCTCTCTAATACGTGATCAAAATTTGCATTTAAAAATGGTGTCTTTTTAGAAAAATTTAAATTTTGTAACAAAAGCAATTAAAATATTTTTTAAAACATTTATTTGAATAAAACATCAAATAGTGTCATTTATTGAATAGTTTAGGACATTTATAGTCATGGGCCAAGGGAGATACCCTCCACTCCCACGGAAGGCCCCTACGCCCCCTCCTTAAATCTCCCTATATTTTTATTTTTTTTATTTTTTTTTTTGCATAAAATGAATAAATAATGCAAAAACATACAATTTAATTTTAATTTTGAAAAAACAAAATTTCATTATTTCAAATTGGTGACTTAAAACCTCCTTTTATATAAAAAACAAACATAAGTTTTGTTTTGTTCTTTTTAAAGGTATTTACTTGTTTGTATTTTCTTAAAGAATTACTTTTAATTTTATAGTTTTTATATTATTTTGTTAGGTAATAAATAATAAAAATAATTAATATGGAGAAATGTGACACTGGAAAAAGTCTTAACATTCATTGCCACAAAACTGGATTTTCAAGAAAACAAGGTTTTGTTCGATTTAAAGATCTTCCTTGTGAAAAACAAGAAGAAATAATATGGCGAGCAAATTTAAAGGAAAAATATAGTTCAATAAGAATTATATGTTGTTATCATGAGCAATTCTATGGAAAATATTTTGAGAGAAAAATTACAAAGTGTTGCAATCCTTTTGGAACACACAAGGAAAGTAAAAAAACTGCTATAAAAGGTAATCTTACCTTATTTACAACAGAATTGATATGGAAATTAAAAGAAAACAATTTATTATTTATAAAAAGTTTTATAATTTCAGTTATTTTAACAACGTAAAACTAAATTTGTTTTTTAGGTAATATAAAGATTTCCATAGACATGGCAAACTATTTGCAAAAAAATAATGTTTATGTAACCCCAGGTTGGAAATTCTGCAGTAAATGTTACAAAAAAGCAATAGAAACTGATGAAGATTTAAATTCACAGGAGGAATGGGAATCAAAAAGTGAGAAAAAAATTAAGTTAGATACCACTATAGAATTGCTTGGAATCTCACCGGTCAAACTAAAAAGTCTTTCAAAACACAGCAAATTGCCTGTAGCAAAACAAAAGTTTGAGAACACTATTGACAGAGTTGCAAAAATGGTCTCATTAGCATATAATATAAAAGAAACTATTTTAACAACAGAAATAAAAAGCCCCATTTTAAACAACAACATTAACAATGACCATGATCTAGACATTTTAATGTATGAAATAAAAAATAAAATTTCAGAGACTGACTCTTATCGCCATAAGGTGCAAATGTTAACACTCGCACCAAAATCATGGACACGTAAAAAGATATCAAGCTACTTTGAAGTGTCTGAGTATCTTTTTAACAGCAAGAAAAGTTAAAAATGAGAATGGAATTCTATCATTACCCGGGAAAAAAACTGGAAACCCACTTTCACCAGAAACAGTTAATTTAGTGATTTTAACTTTTATCAAAGTGATGAATTTTCAAGAATGACGCCAGGAAAAAAAAGATTATGTAAGTATTAAGAAAAACCAACATGTTCAAAAAAGATTATTGCTACTCAATCTTAATGAATTACATGTTGCATTTAAAAAAGACGTCAAAGTCAGTTTGTCAAAGTTTTGTACTCTTAAACCTAAATGGTGTATTACAACTAATGCGTCAGGTGCCCACAATGTATGTGTTTGCATACATCACCAAAATACAAAATTTCTCATTGATGCCATTAGGTGGAATAAAAGTTATAAAGATATCATGGCATTGATTGTTTGCTCTCTTGAAAATGCAGAATGTATGTTGCATCAATGTAACCAATGTCCTGGTATTGAAGCGTTAAAAAGTTTTTTAGTGCAGGAGTTTATGGACCATGAGCATGAAGAAGATGTAGTATTTAAGCAATGGCAGAGTACAGATTGTACAACACTTCTTTCACAGTCATTGCCACTAGATGAATTTATTGATTTATTATGTAACAGTATTGACAAGCTTACCACTCATTCATATATTGCAAAAACACAAAGTAGATACTTAAAATCCTGTAAAGAAAATCTTAACCAAAACGAATGCTTAATTTTAGGAGATTTTGCTGAAAACTATCAATATGTTGTTCAGGATGAGGTTCAAAGTTATCACTGGAGCAAAAGGTAATGCTCACTTTATACAGTTGTACTTTATTTTATAGAGAACAAACTTCTCAAACATAAATCTTTTTGTTACCTTTCAAAAGATGTTGATCATGACACAGGATTTATTTACAAGACTCAGGAAGATATAACTAGATATATCAAAGAAAATCTACCTGGTGTATCAAGTGTGAAATACTTTTCTGATGGTTGTGCAGCACAATTTAAAAATTTTAAAAATTTTATCAATCTTTGTCATCACAGTAAAGACTTTGATTTAAATGCTGAATGGGTATTTTTTGCTACCAGTCATGGTAAATCCCCCTGTGATGGTATTGGTGGGACTGTTAAAAGAGTAGTATGTCAAGAAAGTCTAAAACAAATAACTACTGGGCAGATTTTAGATGTTAATTTAATGTACTCCTTTTGTAAAGCCAAGATAAATGGAATTTATTTTAAGTTATTTTCAAAAGAAGAAATTGATCAAACACGAGCACAATTAGAAAAAAGATATTTAGGTAGAAGAACAGTTCCTGGCACAAGGATGTATCATCATTTTATTCCAATTGCTCCAAACACTATAAGTTATAAAAAAATAAGTATTGATGCATGCAATGAAATATTGATATCATTCCAAAAAGCAAACATTATGTAGATATTTCATTAAATATTAAAAAAATGGATTATATTGCATGTTTTTATGATGGATTTTGGTGGGTAGGGATTGCTGAAGATGTAAGTGAGCTTGATATAAAAGTCAGATTCATGCATCCACATGGACCAGGTAAAAACTTCTTTTTGGCCAATAAGTACTGATGAGTGTTGGGTGCTCAATTCTGAAGTTATATGCCTAATTTCTACACCCAAAACAATATCAGGTCGTACATACAACATAACTGATTTAGATTTGGAGAATATAAGCTGTTGGTTACAAAAAAAAATTAATTATACTTAAAATAACTTTGTTTTTATTTTATTTACCTAATTTGCATTTTAAATGTCTTTTATTTTTTTCAAATCCTTGGACTGTAGGCTGAGAAGGAGGGGTGGGGGTTTAAATAAATCACAAATCACTCCCATCTTATTATGTCAATGACTATATTAGTCTAAAACTACATAAAGATATTTATTGTCAATATGTTTTAAAAACATTTTAAAACATTTGTTTTTGAAATTTATGACTAAAAATCGTAAAAAGATCTTTGAAATAAGAGGTAAGTATTTATCGATTTGAAGTAACGCAAATAAATCGTTTCTCAAACTTACTCTGAAAAAATATGTTTTTAAAATGTATTTTAACAATCAATTATTATTTATTTATTTTACGTGAAAAAAAAAAATCTAGGGAGATTTAAGGAGGGGGCGGAGGGGCCTCCCGTGGGTAGAGAGGGCATCTCCCTTGGCCCATGACTTTAAATGTTTATTTAAATTTAAAATAGTCAATAATTAACACTATTTGGTGTTTTATTCAAATAAATGTTTTAAAAAATATTTTAATTGCTTTTGTTACAAAATTTAAATTTTTTAAAAAAGAAACCATTTTTAAATGCAAATTTTGATCATGTATTAGAGAGACAATTGATGAATCTAATTTTTTTCAGTAGACCTAACATGAAATAATGATATACAATTAAAATTTTTACTCGGGATTTTGGGCCACAGTCTTTATTTTACCTCCAAAAATCACTAATTTACAAGTCAATAATTTTGAACAAAATTGGATAAATGAGGCATTTCTTGAGATAATCGAGTGTTAAGAGTGCTATTTTTGGATTCCTCAAGTTAAAATCTATTAGAGTACTAAATTTTAGGAAATTTCCCCAAGCCATTATGAAGATACTGTATGTCAAAGTTGCTTTGTAGTCGCTTCAGAAAATCACTAAAATGCTGAGTCAGCATTATTTTAACTGACGATATCTCTGGAACCCATTGGTATTTTCAACTAAAATTTTTGCAGTTATTATTTTTTTGATATGGACTGCAGGTGGTGTAAAAATAAACAAATTCTGAGACGTAAGGGTGTTGAAAATTATTTTTTTTGGATGATTTCATATATTTTTACCCCAAAGTTTCCTTGGTTTATGCACATATGTATCAAGGTTTATTCAAAACTTTAGTGAAAAAACAGTATTAAGGGAACTATTAAAGAAAAATTCAAAATTTAAGTGGGAAAAAAAACATGATGCTTTCAACATGCTTAAACGTGAGTTATCAAGTGAATCCGTTCTGGCTTTCTATGATCCGCACAAAGAAGTACAGCTAATCACTGATGCTAGTAATCATGCCATAGGTGGAATACTCTTACAAAAAGAAGGAACATGGAGTAAACCAATCTGCTACATAAGTAGATCATTAACCGCAGCCGAGTTAAAATATAGTATAACAGAAAAGAAAGCTCTTGCCTTGGTATGGGCTATTGAAAAGTTACATTTGTATTTATATGGAAAAAATTTTAAGGTCATAGTGGACCACAAACCCCTCAAGTAAATTTTTTCTTCTGGTTCTAAATTAAATGCACGTATTGCAAGATGGCAAATCAAATTACAGGCATACAATCTCGATGTAACATATCAAAAAGGAGAAAAGAACATTGCAGATTTTATCTCTAGAAGCTGTACTCCAAATGAAATACATAGTGAGTCAGATAAAAATGAAATTACAGCATATGTAAATTTCTTAGTAAAAAAAATGGTACCCAAATCAATATCACTCGAAGATATAAAAACAGAGACAGCAACAGACATCAATTTAATTACAGTAAAAACAGCGTTGTTGTCGGGTAAATGGCATGACAATCCAATACTTGAACCGTATCGTAAATTTCAAAATGAGTTAATTGATCACGACGGAATCATATTACGAGGAGAAAAAATTGTTTTACCAAAGACGCTTCAAAAAAGAGCTTTACAAATTGTACATGAAGGACATTTAAGTGTTGAAAAATGCAAAGGCTTATTGCGACAAAAAGTTTACTGGGTCACTATGAATACCGATAGAGAAGTATATATTAAAAAGTGATTGGGATGTCAAGCAAATTCACGTGTTCCAAATCCTGAACCAATAAAAATGTCGAATTTACCAGAACATTTTTGGGATGAATTAGAAATGGATTTTTTCGGACCATTACCGTCAGGAGAGTATTTATTTGTTATCGAAGATTTGTTGATATAATAAAAACCACAACAGCTTCAAGCGTCATAAGTAAACTAGAAAGATTATTTGCTATATTTGGTTATCCTAACAAAATTAGAAGTGACAACGGACCACTGTTTCAAAGCAAAGAATTAAAACTATACTTTGAAAATGTAGACATAAAGCACATTAAAATGTACGCCTCAATATCCGCAAGCGAACGGTATCGTTGAAAAATTTATGCAAGTTATCGGAAAAGCAATTAAAACAAGTCATTTTATGGGGAAAAGTTGGAGAGAGGAACTCCAAAGCATGCGTCGAAATTATAGATGCGCACCTCATGCTACAACTGGTAAACCACCAGCTACGTTATTATTCAATATTAAATTAAGAAATATTAAAAATAAGTTTCCTTCAATAATAATTGAAAAATCACCCTATGACAAAGAAGTTATAGAACGTCAAAATAAAAAGTATAAGAAAGTACAAGAATTTTTTGATATGAAACATCATGCAAAAAAGAGAGATGACGTTAAAGTAGGAGGTCAGGTTCTTGTTAAACGCCATAAATCGGGAAAAAAATTAGACTCATAAAATTTAAACAAGAAATATATAGTTAAAGAAAGAAAGCAAAATTTAATCATTGTAGTCGATCAAGAAGGAAACGAATTGGCGCGTAATATATAATTTATAAAAAAACTCTTAAAACCTGAAGCCGAAAGTATACAAGGTGAAACACCAGTAAATGATATTGAAAGATAAATAGTTAAAAGAAAATATCCAAAGCGAATTAATAGACCTATAAAGTATTACTATTAAAAATTTCTAAACACGATTTATTTATTTGTGTAATAATAGAAACTTTCCCAAACAGGGGGAACTGTTGAGAGTTGCTGACGAAATACATAGCATTATGATTAGTAAGAGTGCGTTGATGTGGAACGCATTAGAACTCGTGCGTTAGAAAGATATTGTAGTGAGTTATGTTTGTTTATATAATACTAGTTGTAAATATGTATGTTATCATAATAAATTTTAAATACAAATAAAATAAGAGTTAGTTATTTAAAATAGTGAACACAACAAATCCATGCCTTAAACAGAGGTTAAAAAACATTCTAATTATAAGATGTAACCTTAATCCACCTTATATAAAAGTTTCCATACATAACCCATTAAAACAGCTAGTTTTTCCTGATTTTTTGATTTTTTATTGCTGAAAAAACCTCATTGACAGTTATGTTAATACTTACATTATCTCGTTTAGGTAACTGCATTTTCTCAGCAAAGTGGAATTTGTTTTTGTATATTTTATTAAGTTATATATTGCATGAAAGTGATCTGTCCACATATGAGCTATATCATTGTCTGACTTCCCAAAGTTTACAGGGAATAAAGTCAGACGAAATATTGTCTAACTTTTATATGAAACGGATGGGATACAGTATCACAAATATTGAAATATTTGATGCCAGTAAAATTAGTTGTTCTGTTTATTTCCAGTAAATTTATTTTATCTGATGTTTTACAGTATCTGCATAATAGAGATAAAGGGAAAAATTCATAAGAGTATTTATGTTCATTCTAAAATGGAAAAAACTTTATTCTAACCCTCACTCAACGTCTTAATAACAAAACTTCTCCGTAAATCAATTCAACGAATTCTGAGTCTGATCCTGATATAAAATCTAAACTTTAACCTAATGTAAGTAAAAATAAACCCTCCTAGGCTTGAAAATGCTTCAGAAAAAAATGAACTTGTTTTGTTTCACTGAGATACTTAAAAAGAATTAAATATTAATAAATTTGAAATACTTTAAAACTTTTTTGCAATTCCAGAGTTATATCTGAATTCATAATTTCATTTCATGTAATTCCGAAAGTTCCTGATATAATCTTTCAGTAAAAATTGGATTCACTAGTTGCAAGTTTTACTTTTGAAGAATGTACAGTATTTAATTGTACATATATTTATGATAGAATTAATGTTATATATTTTTTTAACTAGAAGCTTTTAAACTTGGTTCTGTTCTATTATTTACCTTTATTTTATAATGCATCAAAAATTAACAAAAAATTCAAAAACAACAGTGAGCGAATATATCGACCTACTTTAGCCCTTTTTTTACCAAGGTAAGGTAACTTTCAAAATTGTTGACACTATTGACATTTTTTTTCAACATCTATTTTGTAGAATGAAAAAACATTAAAACATTTAAATTTTTTTTTGCTGTTTCCATGGAAATAAGTTTGGGACAAAGTCCCGTCGGGTATTTCCGGTTTCAACACTTTTGAAAGTTCAAATTAAAATACAATTAAATTGTTCAAACAAATTATGAATAATTAAGATTATAACAACACATTTTGAAACAAAATATTTTCTTAGTTCATGATACAAAATGTTCATATTATAGATGGGTCTTTTTTCTGCGATAAATTACAATTCATGATACTTAGCAAAACAATTTCTCTTATCAATCAAGCATAAGTATACTTCACAAGCACTACATTTTATATGCGGACGAGCTTCTCGTTTCTCTTGTGCACATACCTCGCAACGACTACGGCTACTGTCAAAATTTGGCCAATGAACACCTAAATTTTCTTTTCTAATAGCTGAGGATACCGAATAAGACAGTGACTTTCTTTTTTTGATGAGCCTTGCTGGGTTGAAGATTGTTAAACAATGGCCGCCCTACTTTTATAGGGCGCCCACGAGTGATTAAAGACTGCGCTACCATTCTTCGAAACGAAAGACTTTTCATTTTGGCTCCGGTAATTTTATTGAATGCAATAAATGAGTTACATAATGCTCTTTCAATTAAACCATAAAAAATCCGATGCCACCATTTTTTGGATTTCCGTGATAACCCATATGAAGAAATCAACTGATCTGCCATGTCAACGCCACCCATAAAAGTATTATAATCTTTTACGGAAACATGGCAATTAAAATCTTTTCTTGTTCCATTTTTCTGTGTTCTTAAAACAGTTGCATGTTCTGTTCCATGAAAATTAGACAACATGTTCACAGATTTGTTATCTTTCCATTTGTAAAATACTAATCCTTCAGCTGAAAGCATGTCAGCAATGGCCCACAATTTAAAACCCCTTTTTATAGGTTTCATTGGATTATATTGTTTTAAACTGCTCCGACCCTTATAGAGAATCATACTTTCATCTATGCTAATACGTTGAGATACATTGTATAGCTTAACAAAGTTTGAGTTAAAAATTAATTAACAAAGTTAGTTGGTTAATCAATGGTCTCAGTTTGTACAATTTGTCTTTATTATCGTTTGGTTCAGCAGCATTATCATTCACATGAATATTGCTCAGAATTTGAGCGAAACGATTTCTTGGAAGAGCACTTGATGCAAATGGTACTGTCAAATCAGGCTCACAACTCCAATAATCCGCCCATGATGGTTATTCATGATAACCCATTATAATATTGATTCCTAAGAAGGAAAAAAACTCTTGCAATGAAACATTTAGAACAGCCTTCATGCTTTGTATTATATATAGATTGGTTTGATAAAGTATGTTCTGTTGTATTTAATTGTCAAAATAAGAAAAAAAGTAATCAATAGGATTTTGACAGCAAAATGGTCCTTGACCGGGCCTTCGTAAGATGAAAATGGAGTTTCAATTTTGTTTTTAGTCTTTTTAGTCCATTTACGATCTTGTTCAACATTATAATCCTCTTGGTCAATGCTGGTGTCTTCCATACTACTTTCTGATTCATTTTCGATAGATTCCAGTAATTTTAGAGCATCTGATATAAATTCATTTTCAGAATCACTTGACTCAATGTCCTCACTAAAATCACTAGGGATTTCCTCTATAATGTAGCGAGCAGCTTCTTCTGATGTAAATAAATTTTTTTTTGACACTTTTATTAAACTAATAAAAAAAAATTAAGTAAATACCATATAATCATAAAAAAACTAAAGAATAAGATTAATATTTTTTTGTAAATTTTGAGTCAATAACACCTGACGGGACATATAAGTCCCACAACAAATTTAACAAAAATATAATATAAAAATGCAATAAAAACTCATCAAAACAACATAAGTATTTATTTACTATAATAAACATCAATCAAAAAAAATCCCAATGCACAAACATATTTAAGGTTATTTATATACAACTTTCAAATCAAGAAAAAAATTTATTAGAACTGCAAGCTTTAGTAGACATATTGTAAACAAAAATATGTGCTTTTGAACAATAACTTTAATGATATTTTATTATATCAAGATAGTAGAAGGTAGTGCTTCCAATACCAGTAGTACCGGTACCGGAATACCGGTATTACCGGACATTTTAAGTACCGAAATACCGGTATTGGTTTGGCTCAATATTGGTATTAAAAATATATGTAGAGGGCTTATGATATAGCAGGTGCTATCGCCCTCTTTACGTGAAACACTAAAGTAAATGAAATACTTAAAACTTTCAACAACGCTTCCGGTAGGAAAAAGATAGCTAGATGAGAAAAGACGTGTTTAAATTGTTTAAAACAAGTATTTTACGTACTTTATACTTAATATCTACTTGTCAGCTCATTTTCCACTAGGTTTAATAGGAAATGAGCTAGCAACTAGCCAGCGATCAGCTAGCGTTTAAGACGTATAAAATACGTAGAATACTTGTTTTAGACGATTTAAACACGTCTTTTGTCATCTAGCTATCTTTTTCTTACCGAAAGCGTTGTTTGATCGTGACTGGAAGTTTTAAGTATTCCATTTACTTTCGTGTTTTCATTAAATAATGAAGCACCAATTTAAAATATTATCATTACGTCACTTGCTTTAATGTAGAACGCATGTTTCAATTTTGCACTAACGTAAATATGAAAAGTTTCGGTAATGTAGAAAGTGGGGCGTTTAAGTAACTGTGATCAACAGTTGTGCATTAGGCATGGGATTCAACTAGGTATTCAAGATATTTTGTACAAAAAAATCGTCAATTTCTGCAAAAAAAACTTGAAAGTAATATGCAAAAACAGAGAAAGTGACGAGGAAATACTGATGACACAAACATAACCAATAATGATGAAGACTTTTCCGGCGGGTTTCAAATTGTAATGAGTGAAGAGAATGACTCTATTGAACTGACTGATGATTTGCACCCGTTAATCAAAAAGGTGCGCACCGTTGTAAAATTTTTATTTCGCCGTTCTCCGACAAAAAATGGTCAAAATTCGAAAAAAAAAACGTTAGAAAAATTTGATAAAGATATTCCACTAATACTTGGATCCAAAACTAGCTGGGTTAGCTTGCACACAGTACTCGAACGTTTTGTATAATTAAAAAAATGCATTCACGAGTCACTTTTTGCCCTTGAGTCCAAAGTTGAGGTAACTAATAATGAGTCCAATGCAATATTAGCTGTTAACTTATGTCTTGCGCCAGTAAAACTGGCTGTGGAAACATTGTGCCAAAATCATGCAACTCTGTTGTGTGCCGATACAACATTTTCATGAAAGATAACCTTTGAGAAATCGATTTAGCTGTAAAATTATGTTGGTGCAACAATTCAATGAGCAACGTACTCTTTTTCCAGCATACAACATTTTTTGCACAAGGGACATCAACGTTACAAGAATTTGGATCTAGCTCTATCTTTTGAGCACCATAGCAAATTAGCCATTGTAAATACCATTACTCGACTGAAAGATCGGCTCAATCAGAAAGGGTATAGTCCGCTCCCTTTCACCAGCGTTTTTTCCGATAGTGATTCTGTAGACAACGCTGTAAACTTGTCATTGAAAAAAAAGCTTGACTTTGCAATTTTGAAAAATAAGAAATGTAACAACAAGGGAAAATTGAATGTTTCGAATAATTCATCAAAAATTATATGTATTGAAATAGGAATTTTTGAAGAAGGAGGAAATCGTTGTATATATTTGCAAAATTCCTACCATTACTTGAAAACTGTGAAGCCAACAAAATTAGATGATTTTTTGAAGATGATTTTCTGAGCGCCCTATGTTTTTAACTGGCTCATTTTACAAAGCAGAAAAAAGCGAAAATTGAAAAAGTCAGTAGTTTTGATAAAAAATAAATAAGCTGATTGAATCAATAAAATTTTTACTATTAACTTGAGATTTTATTTAGATTATGATAAATTTAAAAATAAAGTTTAATACCGGTATTATACCGGTATTACCGGTATTGTATTTATTTAGTACCGATATACCGGTAATGAAAAATAGTATCGGTATTGGAAGCACTACTAGAAGGTGTATCTTTTAATTTCTATAATTTAGTATCAATAATTAACATTCTCACTGAAAAATATAGGCACTAACTTACAGTGGGATTAATAAGTCCTGTCGGTAAACAAAGGGTAAGAGCTGTTAACGTATACCAATCATATATTTATATCAGCATTTATCCGAGTCATATTTTACTATAGCGGAAAATAATTAGCAAAAAGTATCCGGTGTATATTTTGCTTTTGCTTTTGCTTTGCTTTTGTTTTTGCTTTAATTTTGAGTTAAAATCATTAGTTTTAATCAAAATTTTCCCTAAATTTAGTTTAAGTAATGGACTGAAAAGGTTAGAAAACAGATTTATCTCAAAAAAATATATATATTTAAGCTTTTTCAAAAATCCTTTTAACAAATCCATAAAAAGAGCAAGTCTTACATTTATTTGTCTTTAAAACAAATTTGTTCAAATTATATAAATGATATATGGTTAAATATTTATTAAAACAAACAAAAAACAACACAATTTGTCAATTTTCTTTGAAATTAATAAACGTTGAAGAAGCGCAGCTTTTGAAATAAACGTAATTTTCAAAATCAGTTATAATAGCTTCCATCTACTTGACTGAAGCCTAGCACAACTTTTTATAAAGAAAACCATATTATTATAATTAAAAAAATTTATTACTAATAGGGACGACATTTTTTCATTTATTAAGAAAACAGAGTGTCTGTTCGCTCGTTTTTCACGTGCGAATAGACTATATTTAATTATAGTCTATTCGCACGTTTAATTAAAAAAAAGATAAAGATCATTGAATTTAAAGGGATTTTAAAAATATTAGATTTATTGTTATTGGTTTTTAAATTTAATATTAAACTAGCGTAGTGGAGTACTAACGGAGTACTTACGTTGACCGACTTTTGAATGATATGTGTACGTAGTGTATATAAATATTGACTGCTTATCTAGGGATAGGCACACTGTAATATAAATATAATGACGAGGGTTTTAGCTTGGGTAGGCAATCTTTTAATTAAAAAAAGAAGTATTTCTTAATGTTTATTTTATCTAGGCACGTCTTTGTTAGTTTTTTGAATAAAATTTAATTTATTTTTATTATAACTGATTAAAAAAATGAAATTGCTTTCAAAATATGAGACTTAAGTTATAAACATTTTTTGTTTGTGAGAGATATATTAAAAATCTAAGTTGAAATTTTTTGTTAAACGTGCAAATAGACTATAATTAGATATAGTCTATTGACAAGTGCTTGCGAATAGACTCACCCTTAAGAAAATAACGTAACTCTATAGTAGTCATTATTAAAAAAAAAAACATCTCAAATAAAATAGATTAAAAAAAACAACTTTAATCAATTTTGGGATCAATTTTGAAATCAACTTCTTTAATAAAAAACCAACTATAATATCTCATATAAATAGCAAAGTCATTAATAACACTATAAAATGAAAAAAAGAATTTGAGATTTAAACAATTGGATTATAGTAATATTAAATGTTGTTTTGGTTTTTAATAAATGGCTAAAAGTAGTTAAGTAGATTAATAGAACTAACTATAATCATTCTTAATGATAGACACAAACAGAAAGGCAAATCAAGCGGTCTATTAACACAAAATATTACAACAAAGTACAACAATTAAGTAAAACAATAGCAAATAGCATAACATATTAGTATATTCACATTACATCACACTAAATATTAACATATGTTTGTTTTCTATATAATTATGAAAGGCTAGACAACAGAACCTAGATATACAACAATAACACCTTTATCTTGCTACCCACCTGCTGTCACACCTCTGCTAAGTGCACTGCTTGGCTGGAAAAGGGTGGTAATTTTGCTCTATACGATTTTTTTTTTTTTTTAATAGAAGTTTAGTTATAAAAAAAAAAAAAAAATAGCCGGCTAATATAACAGCCTAGCTCTACTATTCTTTAGGATATTTTTAGCTGCATACTCTAACTTTTATGCAGAGCAAACTTGGATTCAATAAGAATCCAAATTTGGAATCACGTATGCAAAGATCATTGCCACGTTGTAGCATTCTAAAATTTATTGCAGCAAGTGGGTCATAGATATGCAGTTGGTATTATGTAGGGGAATATCTTGATCTGGCCTAAGACTACACGATAAAAAAACTTATCAACACGATAAAAAAATTTGACCGCATATTCTATAACATGGCAGCCCATTATTCCTCGGTTGAACCACATTAGCTGTAAATGAAACAAAGGAAAGACACGCATTATAATTTCTAATATATTTAAAAAATTCATATTTGTAATTATGATCTGTATAACTACCTGTACCTACGGTGCGTACCTACGGTGGGGGGGGGGGGGGGGGCTTACCGCCCCAGGTGTCATCCACTTTTGGGTGACACCCAATTTATTAATATCTTATATTTTATTTTGGTTTATAATTAAACAGTCTTACATAAAAAAATGAGTGGTATTTATTTACACGCCCTACGAAATGCTGAATGCTGAAAGATATAGTTATCATTATTTAGAAAATATAATCGCTTAGCTTTCTTCTTATAATATATAAAAAATGAAATAAAGACTTAATGTCGTCTAAAAAAAATTCTTCATAATCAAAACATACTCAAATTTTGTTTGGGTTTGGATAACTTTGTGTGGGTGCGATTTTAACCGTTTTTCACTTTATCAGCTTTTTTTAGTCTTATTCGTATATTTTTTCAATGTTAGTACTGCATCACGTTGCGGAATATCAAAACCATCTAATTCGAACTAAAACATTCGAAAACATATTTTTTGTTTATGATAACAATTTTAAAAATTTGCCATATTACCTATCACTGAAAATTTTATAAAATTTGTGCATAAATTATAGTGACTTTGTAATAGATACATTTTGAAACAATATCGTATATTATTAATTGTTTTAATTTTCCGTTTTTAGTGCTTAATAAATACCATTTAATTTAAAAAGTTTTTAGTGCTTAAATTTTAAGTTTTAAAATTTTGTTTTAATATTTAGTTTAAAGTCTTAAATATTTTGTATAACAATGCCGCGTGGGGTGCATAAAATGAAGAGATTAAGTGGACATCAACAAAGAAAATTAAAGGAAGCTAAACTTAAATTCCTTAAAAAATATGCAGGGTCAATACTTCAATACATAGATAACCTAAATGACGGCCAATGTTCTTCAAAAGACAGTACTTTGATACAAACTCCATTAGTAGTAGAAGAAAGTGAAAATGAAGCTTCTAATAATAGCACCTTCACTGTTGACATGGAAAAAAATGACCAAGAAAATGAAGCTGAATCTCCACAAGTATTAGAAATCACCAATTTAGAAAAACATGATGGAAAAACTAACTTTAAAATCTTTTCTGACGTCTCTTTTTGGAAATTACCGCTTCAAGACCACCTTCGAATTGAGATTATTAAAAAGGGAAGTTCTACATTTCAAAACAAAGATGGACCATTTAATGTAGTACAACGAAATGTCACTCAAATGAAAGGCCATGATCGTCACCTTTCCTCTGAATGGTTTTATAAACAAATGAAAAATGGTGAAAAAATTTTACGTTCATGGATGGTTTAATCACCCAACATTGGAAATTTATACTGTTTTTTTTGTCGATTATTTGCCAGTAATATTACCAATTTGATATCAAAATTCGTCACTGGATTTCAAAAATGGTGGAAATTAAATCCAAAAATATATGAGCATAAATCATCTGACAATCATTTGCGATTTTTGGAAAAATGGAAGATTCTGGAAACAAATTTAAAATCTAATAATACAATCGATGCCGAAATTATTTCTTTTACAGAAAATGAAAAGAAAAAGTGGCGAAACATATTGTATAGGCTCTTAGATGTAACTTTGTTTCTTGCTAAGCAAAATTTGCCATTTCGTGGACATCAGGAGGATGAATCATCTTTGAATAAAGGTAATTTTTTAGAATTAGTGGATTTGCTTTCAACATATGACCCTATATTAAAGGAGCATTTAATTAAATTAAGGAAAAGTTATTCCAAGGTTTCGTATCTTTCCCCAAAAATTCAAAATGAATTTATCAGTTGTCTGGAAAGTCACGTAAAAAACAAACTTATTGAAGAAATAAAATCCGTGCGATGTTTTGGCGTAATGTTTGATAGCACTCCTGATATATCTCACGTGGATCAAATGTCTGAGGTGATCAGATTTATTAAAATTGAAAATAAAAAGGTAGAAATAAAAGAGGCATTTTTAGGATTTTTTCCATTAAAAGGAAAAAAGGCTCTGGACTTAAGTACTGAAATACTTAAACAATTAGAATCTGTTGGGTTAGATATAATGATGTGCCGCTCCCAGGGATATGATAATGCTGCTACAATGGCTGGAATCCACGGAAGTGTACAGAAAATTATTTCTGATAAAAATAATAAGCCAATTTTTAATGGATGTATTGATCATTCCCTAAATTTATGTGGTCAGCATTTTTTTGCAGTAAATGCATCTTGCGCCGCATTTTTCGGAACAATTGATGCAATTTATTCATTTTTTGCTGCTTCTACGCAAAGGTGGGAAGTGTTAATAAAGCATACCAATAAATCAGTGAAAAGACTGTCGACCACGCGTTGGAGTAGACATTATAACGCCGTAAAACCTCTTCAAGATAATTTTGAAAAATTTATAGAAGCAATTGAAGCTCTTTGCAGTACCAATGAAAATTTAGATACAAGAGGAGCAGCTGAATCTCTTTTGCCGGCAGTGTGTCAATATACATTTTTATGCTTTTTGTATTTTTGGTACGATATACTGGAAGAAGTAAATATCTATCTCTTGATAAAGTTATAATAAAAATAGAAGCTCTTAGTCTTTTTTTTAAACGAAGAAAGGCAAAATGTAGTTGACAAGGCACTAAATAAAGCACTTTGTGTATCAAAAGAACACGATATTCCAATTGAGAGAAGAATAAGATTGAGAAAGAAGATGGCGGGAGAATTGGTATGTGATACTAAACTCACAATAGAAGAAGAAAATAAAAGAACTACGTATGAATGCATTGATCGTCTTAATGTTGAACTTCAAGCAAGATCAAAACCATTAAAAAATATTTTAGACATGTTTGAATGTGTCCAAGCTAAATTTTTAGTTTCTGAACATAATAATGAAGAAAACTTGATGCTATCTATTAAAAAATTAACTTCATTTTATGATGAAATATCCCATGATGAACTAATTTTGGAAATTCCACGACTCAAACGACATCTTAAAGCAGCAGGAATTAATTTGGAAGTAGTTAAAAATTGGACAGCTTTAGATATTTTGACTTTCATCACAGAATGGGACTTCACAGAAACGCTTCCAATGCTTTATCTCACCCTAAGATTATTCTTAACTATTTGCGTGTCCATTGCATCATGTGAAGGGAGCTTTTCAAAATTAAAACTGATAAAAAATTATTTACGATCAACTATGGGCCAATCAAGACTTTCTGATCTTGCAATATTATATATAGAGAGTGAGTTTGTCAAAAGCATTGACTTTAATAACGTAATTGATAAATTTGCAAGTTTAAAAGAAAGAAAAGGAACATTTTAAAGGTTAAGTGTTATGAAAATTTAGGATAATAATTATATAACGATTAAAAAATTTAGTTTAGTGTTTGAAAAATTTAGTTTAGTGATAAAAACATTTAGTTTAGTGATTAAAAAATTAATTTAGTGATTGAAAAATTTAGTTTTGTGATTAAAAAATAGTGTAGTGATTGCATAGTGAATAAAAATTATTCAAAGTTCAAACTTTTGTGCATATTATTTAAAAAAATATATTTAGTTCATATAGAAAGTAAATAATTAGGTACATTAATATGTTGTTATACATGAACACATCAGTGGCATAGATTCATTTATAGGACAGATCTGCGTATTTAACAAAGGGTAAGTGAACGTTTAACTTATTTTTCACAGATAAGAAGTTAAAAAATCAGTAGGTTTGGTATTTTATTATTATACTTTACTATCAAATCAAATCCAGGTACTACTGTTTTTTTAAGCATATAAAAGAATAAAGCTGGTTTTAGACGATTTTAGATGATAATAATTTATTATCGTCTAAAACAGAGATAATAATTATTTGGCAACAATTTATTGCAAATAACTATTTTCGCTGTTATAGACGAGAATTATTTATAGAGAGTTATAGACACTAAATTATTATTGTCGAAAACAAGGTTTAAAATTACATGTGTCAACGTTTCTAAATACTGCTTTAATAATTTCGTATATAAAAATAATTAAATATAATATATGGGTGACACCCTATTTGCCGCCCCGGGTGACACCATAACTAGGAACGCCACTGTTTAAACATATAAACAATATTATATGTAAACCAAAATACTATTTACAATATACAGTTTTTAATTACAATTTTCGAAAGAGGACCCCCGGAAAATATTTAATTGACAGTATTAAGTCAATTAATCTTGTAATATAAATAAATTTAAAGACAATTATTGAATGAAAAGCTTCAAATATTCTAAGATTTCATTCTAAAATCAAAAAACTTCTAAATTTTGGAAATATATGTTAAAACTATTGTGCTTACAAGCTGGTATTTAATAATACGAATAAATTAAATTGCGTTGTATATATCTCTACATTCATCGTCATAGTTTTCCTTTTGGTCGTCTACATTATTATTTTGATATCTTTTACACTTGCACATATCAGTACAGACAAGTTTATTTTTCAAACATTTGCACCTTTCATTATTACAGTCTCCTTTACAACGGCAGACGCTCAACTCGATAAGTGCTATTGATGCTGGTAGGTTATCAGTCATTATGGGGTCAAAAGATCGATTGTTTAGTTCCCAACCATACTCCACAGGCGATGGTAGATACTTTTCGGGCATGTTATAGAGTTTAAGCACTAAACATACAAAATGACTACGGAATATATGGTACTTAAGGAAATTCATAGTTGGGGGAAGTTGTGCAGCGTCATACTGAAATTTAGAGAAAAGGAACCAACGAAGTTGTGAAAGAGTATTAACATCTTTTGTCCGTTTTTTATCACCGTAAACTCTAACAACAAAACGTTCAATGTTATTTATTGTAAACAGATCAGGTAAAGTTTCTGATTGACCGAGATTTGATAGAGCAGCTAGGGTTCCATAGTCAGCTTTTACAAATTTTTTAGTGATTCCAGAAAAGCGTCCAATTTGATCACAGCCATTAAAAACGTGAAAACCTAAAAAAATGAAAAATTTCAAGAAGTCCCTTACTTTCATTAGAAATGAGAAACAACAAAATATAAACAAAAATACCTAAAATAGCTTGGGCATGTTTAGAACCAAATACTTCGTAACATTTTTGAATTGAGATGTCTTGTTCCTTATCCCCTCTATCAGTTTGGAAAGTTGTGCCACGTGGCAGGACTTGATAAAAATGAACTAAAAGTAGAAAAACGTCAGTATCTTGTGAATGCACAATACATTTTTTAATGGGTTTTCTTTTGCAACGTCAATGGCATTCAGAATTAACAGAGTATCAGCCTCTTCGTGATCATGATTCATCATTTCTGCAGATAGATGTTCCATATTTGCTTCTGTTGTTTTTGAATATGTTACAATGAAGCGAACTGCACTACCTATATTATTTTTTGTATACTCAGCCAGGTATTCGTTAAGAGCTTGCTTTGTTTCAATGTGTACCAATAATTGCTTTAGCGACTTGTTACAAATTATAGAGTCATCAGTTATTTTATATTTGATTTCATTGTCAGAGGTGCGTTTTATTCTTGTTCTAGACTTTAATGAGTGTTCAATGTATTTGTCAAAAACCAATCTTTTCTCGATCAGTTTTGAGATTTTCCTAAGTATACTAATAAATATTGGAGCTAAATCATGAATAATTAAACATATATGAATATTCATGCTGCATAAGATATATATATATATATATATATATATATATATATATATATATATATATATATATATATATATATATATATATATATATATATATTAGGGCTGTACCGGATTTAATTTTTCCAAATCCGGCCGGAGCCGGATTTTTACTAACAGATCCGGCCGGAATCGGAGCCGGAGCCGGATTTTGAAGCAAAACTACAGGAACCAAAATCCTGTATATCCCTACTTGGTGTTGAAAATGGTCAACAATGTTGACTATTTAAATCACCAAGTGACAGTTCCCGACGGGCATTTCTTTTTAAAAGTTACGATCTAAATGTATTTTAAATGTCTTTTAAACGTCTTTTAAACATTAATGTTTAAAAGACGTTTAAAAGACATTTAAAACACATTCAGAACGTAACTTTTAAAAACAAATGCCCGTCGGGTTGTTTTCTATTAAACATCATTTTTGTTGTTTAAAAGTTTTATAGCAATTTCTATAGAAATTAATAGACATTTTATATAAATTTTATAGAGTTTCTATAGGCCATATGTTTCAAAAATTTAGAGAAATTCTACATAACTTTTTTTCCCGGGATGTTGTCACTCCGCCACTGTAGTGAATCAGCGTGTCTATATATTTCTGATTCTTCCAGATATTGGCTTAGCTGAGTGTCAATGCCTGTTGGTAAATGTGCTGTGCCACAAGCGGGCGTAGAATGAATAATTTCATCTATATATATTTCCATTGTAATGATGATAATGTATAAGAATTATCCAGCAGGGATTGTTTTGCTGGATTTTCTTTATTTTTTTCAATCTAAAAAGGTTTCTCCTCAATGCCTTTGAAACGCTCATCTAATGAGTTGATTAGGATTGACTTCATAGTCTTTACACCTGCATTATTGCAGAATATCTTCACCTGCATTATTGCAGAATATCTACACCTGCATTATTGCAGAATATCGTGTGTCTTCTCTTCAGAATTTTTTGTTGCGTTCTTGTTTGAAATTAGGCTTAGCTAATTAAATTGTAAAAAAATGTAAATACAGATACCAAAACAAACATGAAGTTCAAAAATTAAGTATTATGTATACATGTTATCACGGGTAAGAAAGATGTAATAAACATCCAGAAATCCGGCCAAAATTATGCCGGATTTGCTAACATTTTGCCGGAGCCGGATTTGGGCCGGATTTGTAAAAATGGCCGGATTTCGGCCGGAGCAGGAGCCGGAGCCGAAATTCGGTACAGCCCTAATATATATATATATATATATATATATATATATATATATATATATATATATATATATATATATATATATATATATATATATATATATATATATATAATATATATATATATATATATATATATGTAAGATATATATGTATCGTGCGTATAGGCATGATCAAAGTAAATGTTGCTATTCGTTTTAAATATTATAAGCCGATTTCAGTTAACTTATCAGTTAACAATTATACATACACAGTTATTACAGTAAACAATACAATAAATAACAAGTGTTACATTCTAAGTTTTAATACTGTTATCTTTTTCAACTATCATTATTAAAGGCCATGCCATTAATAATGATAGTTGATGCATTTACTGAGATTTCTTGTTCTTGTGTCGAAATCTCTAATCTTTTTGACAAGTCTTCAACTTCATGCAGAATTTTTTCTTTATCAGAGGTGATCAATGGGTGACCATCTTGAAAATTCATAGCTACCTATACTTTTTTCCAAATCAAGCTCAGTGCGTTTTCTTGCACTAACTAGGAAACAAGATAAAAAGGTGCGCTCTTTTTTCAGATGAATTACTTTATTATCTATCTTTATTTTTGAAACTTTGGCTTGATTTTGGAATGTTTTCAGATTTCTCATCTTCATTGCCGACCATATAGATATGTCTCCTTTTATCCTTTCAGTAACAAAAGAATGGTAGAGCTCTTCTTTGATCTTTCCATGATGAACTAATCCATCGGTTACTTCTTTTGGCAAAATGGCTTTGGATACAAGATTAAAAACCACCTGATTTTTGTTAAAGTTGATGTCAAAAGTATCAAATGCATCAATGACTATTTATACATTAGATTAAATTCTTTCGTTTGTAGATCTCGCCATTTGGTAGTGTTGCTTGCGAAATTGTGAGCCAATATTATTTTTTTCGCAAAATATTTTTCATATGAAGTTTAAAGCAGGAGCAATAAAACAAAAAGGTTTAAGCACGTTGGATTTTGTGTAATACCAATCACCCCTCCTGGTACCTTCAAAACCTTTTTTTCCTGTTCTAAGGCATGATCAGAACTAATACTACAGAAAGAAATGCCAATATTAGGAGGTACAAATGCGCATTGATTTGTTGATATGTTTTCAATAACAGCGTTTCCTAATCCATTTTCGATCTTTATAACACTATCATAGGAAATAGAAAGTCCAAGATATGCCAAGCAGTTTACTAGCTTCTTGTTAGGGGTTTCTTTATGCACATGTAATCCGAGGCCGACTGAAAAAGATGTTTCAGTAATATTTCTGAAATCATTATCCGTTTTTGAGCAATGTGCTCAATGCTGCTTTTACAATAATTTGCAAAATGTTATCGACACGATGGATTTTTTTCAACATAACACGAGTCTACATTTTTTTTTGGTCCAAGTATAACCCCTCTAGCAAAGAAAATAAGGACGTCGGATTATCAAAACCAAAGAAATTTTAATCAAACCTCCATTTTCTTTGCTGCAGGATTTCTTTCCGAATTATTTTTGTTGCCTCAAACATTGTTGTATAGTCATCCGTATTGTTTTTAAAGTTATCTACCGCCATTGTTTGATATTTGCTAGAGCAAAGCTGATCGGATTTTCTACGGCACGGAGGTCTGAAAAAAATTATTCCTGGCACGTTCCCAGTGGACACGGACGTAAAAAAAGACGTCTTATACACGTTTCGGACGTCTTTTGAACGTTCAAAAAACGTCTTTTTTTAGTCCGGTGCCCTCTGGGTTATCTTGTAGAAGTTTCTTAAAGTCAAGTTTATAATTCACCTCAGTCTGGTCATTATACCCAATTAAATTATTGTAAGTTTTATTGATGTTGTTCATAACCATAGCAAAACCATCTTCTTTTAAGTTCAAATAGACTAAACCAATGATTTCTACATCTGCGATGTCGAAATCATTGGTTAACCCGTCCAATATTATCCAATTCTTGAATTTCTCCTTGAGTTGCTGTCAATTTAACAGATCTCTGCACAGTTACCCAACACTTTAAGTGGTATTTAGCATCATTTGCAATGGCGTCATCAGAATTTGGGATAGTATTCATTCTGAAAAAGTATTCTTGATCGTTAAGCGACTTGGAAAATTTTAACATTTTTTCCCCTATCTCTGTAAACTTAACTTTTCGAAGTTCACTGCCTTCACATGGACAAATTATACAAAGTTCTTTGTTGTAGACTTGAGATTTTGAACGGAGAAATTTTTCTATACCTTTTGACATTTTACTTGAATCTTCTGATTCATCTATGTCTTCTATGAGTTTAGTTTCAGGATTGCTTGCAATATATATATACTGTGTTGTTCAAGCAAACGTTGCAAACGTTTTTGGTGGATGAACCTTTTGTAACATTAGGAGTGATAAACACCTTTTTCATCTAGTTCCTCGCGTAGTATTTCTCTTAACTTTTAATAAAAATTGCTTCTGGGTCATGATAGGAGTACCTTTGCTTTAAACATACCATTAGTTTTTCCGAAGCGTCACGCGAACTGGTTTTTACAATCTGAAAATAAATTTAGTAATTGCTAGAAGACATTTTTAAATTTTTTGTAAGTTTTGATAATCTTATTTTATAATCTTATTTTGATATTCTTATTTTGATAATCTTATTTTAGTAAGTTTTAATAATCTTATTTTATTTTTACATAATTCTACTTATAAGTAGAACATAACTTATAATTAACAATATTTATTAATTATTATTATTAATAATATTTAACTTATAAGAATGCAACAATTCGAATGATTTGTATTTGTTTTTGGCTTTTACAAACGTTTCTATACTGTGTTATTGCTGTTTCACAAATTAAATATTATTACAAATGGAGGACGAAGAACGAAAAAAAAAAAGAAAACTTATTTTTGACTTTACTAAATGCATTGTTTGCCAGGAGGACGATTGTAAAAAAAAAGCATTTCTGTTTATTTGATTTAGATATTATTTAACATATCTACGTAAAAATATAAATCTACGTATTTTTATAAAAATACGTATTTTATAAATATATACATATTTTTTCATAATAGTGTGTTTTTTTCAAGAAATTGGTAGTATTTATATATAACAAGTTGTTTTTTATTTATTCCACACCACTTCAAATTTTACAGGTCTATCTTAAAGTTGGGTGTTGGTTTGTGGTGAAGGTTTAACATACCCTATAAAAATTTCATTCTTTTAAGTATTACAATCTTTACTAAAATGATTAAATCTATTACAAAAAATAAAAAATATATTTCCACACTTAAAAAAATATTAACTATTGGTGTATAAATTGCTTTTATGGAAGAGGGCGTATGCCGCCCCCTTCCGCCCCTAAAAAAAAATTTATAAAATATAATAATAATAATATCTTCTATAATAAAAGAATAATAGAAGTTCTATTATCTTTGAAAAACACTTACAAGGTTTTTGTTAAGAATAAACCAATAAAGAATATGTATGATTTATATATGGGGTTTTAATAAAATTGTCAAATGATAATATTAGTTAACAATCAACTTAAACAAAAATTTTTTAATCTTAAACAATAATTTTATGTTATTATCACTTAGAAAAAGATTAAGGTTTACATTTATCAATATTGTTTTTGTTCTAGAAATAGTTGTTGATGACAGTATTTTGAAAAAAAAAAGAAAATTAAACTTACCTGCTAGAGAATCTAAAAAATTTTTATTCATTTTTTTCATTTTATTATGTCTAAAAAAAAAAAAAAAAAAATAATACATTAATGTAATAGTTTTTGTTTAAAGAATTGTCCACCCGAGCCTCCCCCGTACTTCGCTTGCCGAAAAAACAACAACAGAAAAACAGAAATTAGTACCAAAAGTGCTACACTAATTAAACTATTTGCTTATATTTCTTATTCGGTGAAATTTGGCATGTGCAAGGAAAATGCATGTAAAAAACATTTTTAATAATAAAAAAAGGGTGCATTTTTTCGACTATAATTTTTCAAGGGGGAACATTTTTTCGACTATAAATTCATGTGAGAACACCAACCTTTTTCTCAGTAGCCAAAAATGATCTCTAACCGCATCAGTAATATATATTCAAGCAAAGAAGCTTTTGATAGAGCCGCACCATTTTATAACAACGCTCTCAATTCTTGTGGATTCAAAGATAAGATCAATTTCACTCCAAATATCCAGAAATATAATAAAAAATCTCGAAAAAGAAACATTATCTGGTTTAACCCACCTTATTCACTCAACGTCAGAACAAACGTAGCCAATACAATTTTGAGTACAATTGATAAATGTTTTCCTAAAGGCCACAAATTTCACAAACTTTTTAATCGAAACAAATTAAAGGTTAGTTATAGCTGCCTTCCAAACATCAAGAGTATTATTACTTCTCATAATAAATAGATATTATTTCATTATCATACTAGGTCTGTGGTTATATATATATATATATATATATATATATATATATATATATATATATATATATATATATATTGTCCAATTTATACTTTGACAATATACATTGTCCAATTTATACTTTGACAATATATACTAGTATATGCACTTATGACAGTTTGCACTTATGCCAGTTAGCAATCATGGTACAGATATTCATCTTATCAAATAGTTACCGAATATTCGGGGCATCTCTAATTTACATAAATAAATTATATTTATTTTAAAAACAAGGAAATTTATATATTTCGTATACTTAATTAATATTAAATTTAGACGCGCTTGATGCACCTATTTCTGTTTTTTTTTTTTTGACTAGTCAAGTGAAACCGAGGAAGCAAAAGAAATATGTGTAATATAAGTTAATAGTTGCAAAAAATGGTACCACGTATCTAATATATATACGCATACTTAATAAATATTAAAATCATGGGCACCCATGACACCATTGTTAGCAACTATTTACTTATATAAATTTTATTTATTTTGAAATCAATAATATAACAACTGTCGAATAAATCATTTATTTATAATTAACAATAGTTATATTCATTTGATTTATTATCATTTTTCTTAAACTTAAATTCGATTGAGACATTTTTGGAAACAAGCATACAATATTTATAAAAATAAAAATACAAGCCCTTCCCTGAATTTTTGTATGCTAAAATGCATTCAAATCACGGAGTTTTTTTCTTTAAGTTTTTTATTTAAATATTTTTTTTCTTTTTAAATTAACACAAAAATCAATTCAAGACTACCTGATAGCAAACAATATTGGCGCAATATTGTTTACATAGTTTCCATAACATTAACAATATTAAGCCATTATTGTCTGCTAATTAGGTATGAATACCAGTGTTAAGAAACGCACTTTGCTGTTGTAAAAAATATTTAAAAATTTACTTTTTGCTAATTATAATAATGATAATGATAACAAAAAAGTAATAAAATGTTTATAAAAAAAAAAAAAAAAAAAAAAAAATGAAAAAATGTGAGCTAAAACACAAAAAAACGAAAGTTTCAGTTACTTATTTATTTTTATTTTGTTTGTGTGTTTTTAGCTTTCACCATATTGTTCTTTTATCCCTGATAGTTAGCCATTGATTTCTGTAATCGGTCATTCTCCGGTTATTTCATCATGTTTTCACTTTCATAAACGGCTGAAACAGAATGCCTTTGAAAATCACCTTTACGGCTAGTTAGAGATTGGTAACATGCTGTACATTAGACAACATCCATTTTACTTTTCTTCTTATTTTTGATTGTCAATCAGGTGGCTTTTTAGGGTGGCCACCTGATTGACTTTTGTAGCTTTTTAGAACTTTATATTTCTTCTTTTTTTGAAACTTAATGGGTGTAAACTAAATATGCTGGTGATCAATGGCTGCAAGACTTTCGCAAAAGATATAATAATAAGATATCTCTACGTAAACCACAGCTTAAAAATCTTACGATCTCCTGAATTGGATAAAGAAACTGCAGGAATCGTATATAAAAATTACAAAAATGTTTTAGAACGTTATCATTTTGAACCATCGAAATTTAAAACTGTGATGAAATTACAGTTCACGCACTACCAAAAAATCTAGCTCCAAAAACAGAACAAAAAACATGGCAAGTCTAAAACGAGGCAATAATACATCAATGGTTGCAGTCATTAATACTACTAAGAAAAGCATTCGAACACTACTTGTATTTCCACGTGCTAAATATAAAAACTACATATTAAATAATTGTCCTCCTAAAAGTGTAGGATCAGCAAGTAAGTCTGGATGGTTAAATGAAGTCATTTTTTTGCAATTTCTTGAATATTTTATCAGTAATGTACGAACAGTAATTGAAAAATCTGACATAGTTTTAATCAAAATTTATCTCACACAATCCTTAAAACGCAAAAACTCTCGATTGTGGTGTTTTCGGAGCATTTAAAACCTTTCTAAAAAGTGCCATGAATAATTTGATGATATCAACAGAAGATGATGGAAACCCAGTTAAAATTTATAATATATTTTACCTTATTGGTCAAGCTTATTCTCATGGTTTTTAAACAAATTTAAACAGTTTTAAATATATTTAATGAAAATAATTTTACTGATATTATCTTTTTAGCTGAATATGTTACTATTAGGCCAATTTCATTTGAGTTTTTTTTTTATTTTAATAGTGAATACTGAAACTTGCATTTTTTATGATAATATTGATGTTAAAACTGATCCCAATATTTTACCATCAAAATTGTCTATTGTTTCAGGGGAAATGGCTCTTATGAGTTTATCATCAACATTATTTATTGTTTCACCTGAAATAATACGGCCTCAAAAGTGAAAGCTGCGTATTTTAACTGATACAGCTGAAATTAAAGTTGTTTTAAATTCAAAACCTAATAACCAAAAATGTAAAAATTCCTCTTTCAGACAAATATAAAAAAAAATAGATTATTTTGAGCCAGTCTGACAGGTGTTGAAATGATTAAAGTTCTGATAAAATTGATTTTTGAATAAATACACTTGATATTTAGTGTGAAATGGAACTGGAAGTTTTTTAATTGTCAAGTTGGCCAAAAAAAATTCTCTAGACTTTGTATAGCAGAAGTTATAGAAGTTTTTGGCATAGTTTACAAAATTATATGTCTTAAGAAATCAAGAGACTTTTGTAAAAAATTTATACAACATGATAACTCTACTTATAACTCTACTATGAGAAACTTTCACCACCAAGTACAGATGATTCATCTTGGTTTCATTATTTTATGCTTGATGTTGATCTGACCTTTTGTAATATCTAATACATTATACTCGTTTATTAATGTATTTTAACTGTCATCATTAAAATACTTCCTTTAAAAGGCATTATGATCAAATGTTAATGACTATAGACCACTAACTAGTATAAGTTATAGAAATACATTTTTGCTTTCAATTAATTTATTATCTTAAATGATAAAAAAACACTATGTTATTTACAATTCAATGGCATTTAAAATTTTTGACCTTAACCCTAAGTATTTCATGTAAGTAACATGCAACTAAAAAAAATATGTTGGTCTTACCAAGATATTTTCTTTGAGATAGTCTAGTCTTTGATTTAAAGATTTTTCTAATTTTTAAGACAATTTAACTTACAAAATAGTTACATTTGTTTTTTTTTACTGACATGAAGTTGGCTAGAAGTGTTTGGAATAATAAAATTTAAAGCTTAGTTCTTTGTTTTAATAAATCAAATAAAAACTTATTATTAATAAACATTATTAAAAGTTGCAGAAATTTTTTGGTAATCTCTTTTTCTTCAGAAAAAATAGTTAAACCTTGTTTTCTGACATCATATATTCTTTTAAATTTTAAAACAAAATTTTTAAAACAAAATTTTTAAAACAAATTTTTTAAAACAAAACTTTAATACCACGCTATCACATTGTTAGATTAAAGTTTTTTTTTTTTTTCTTTTATGTTCCATATTAAATCTCTCGGCGTTAGTGTTCACAATAAAACTGTTCGCCCGACGTTAGTGTTCACAGTAAAACTGTTTTTGTATGCCTACTAAAGTGTCAAAATTTACAAAGTTTTATTTTGATTTAAAGTAATTTATGGTAAAAAATGAGCACATTCAACGTCAGTTGAATAATATTCATTCAGATGAATGACATATTTACCTAAATAAATTATTAACCTGAGTTAAAGTACTTTTTGGTAAATCTTTAAAAGTTATGAGCTAAACGATGTTACAAAAAGTGGCGGAACTAAATAATAAAAATAAAGTACAAAGTAATAAAATAATTGTTACGTTTAGTAAAAAGAATTCAAAAACAAAGTAAAACATCGATATATAAACAAGTATATATAACTGGTTTTAATAATTACTATATTTAGCCTCTATAAAACATTTACTTTTAGTTACTTATTTAATTTAAAATAATGCATGCAGTTTAAATGAAAATTTTAGATGTTAAAAAATAAGTGATTACAACTGTTTAAGAGTCTTGAAGCAGATCTGAAATTTGTAATAATTGTCTAAAGACATTTCATTAGATTTCTAAAGATATTAATAAAGAAAGTAATAATAAATTTGTTTTAGGAAGATAATTTAAAAAAATTAAAAAAGTCTTTACTAAACGACGAGTCAGAGATGTGGAAGTAGCATGTAGACTTATACTGTATCACATTAAGTATCTCAACTTTTGATTTATGGTGATAACTGGTTTAGTCTGTGAAAAGAAAAAGATTTTATACTTCAAACGGAAAATTTATTTCATATTTAATTTTTTGTAAAAGGAATGTAAAGCTTTTGATAATTCACAAACAATTTGTCTTGCCAACAATAGCGTTTGTTTGTCGTTTTGTGATGGTACTTTATTTATAAAATCAACATTAAATTTTATGACGTTTTTTTATACAGTCTAAATAATAAAACAGTCAAAACTGATTTCAAATGTAACTTAACTAATATATATATATATATATATATATATATATATATATATATATATATATATATATATATATATATATATATATATATATATATATATATATATATATATATATATATATATATATATATATATATATATATATATATATATACATATATATATATATATATATATATATATATATATATATATATATATATATATATATATATATATATATATATATATATATATATATATATATATATATATATATATATATATATATTGTTTTTGTTTTAGAAGTAAAATGTATTATTGGATATTTTTCTTTGCAATAAATCATGGATTTACAGCAGAGATAAATTTAAGTATAAACTTTGAAAAAGTTGCAGCTGAGGTTGAAAAAGAGTTTTTATCGTTGACTATCGATGCAAGTTATTTTTATTACAAGGCACTTACTAACGAATTTAAATCAAACATTTTAATAGCTTTAGGTAAAGGACTTTCTGCAGAGGGAGATCTTTATTTGCGATTTGGAGGTACTAGAGCTGATTTCACAAATGTCAGTACTAATGATATTTACTATAACAAAGAAAAATTAAAAGACCTGATATCGTTTGCAAAGGAGACTGAATGGAAACTTATTTTTGGACTTAATGTACTCAACCGATATTCTGATGGCTCATGGAATTTTTATAACGTAACAGAAGTGTTAAAATATATGGCTGCCATGAACTATGAGATCAAGTTTGAACTCAGCAATGAGTTTGACAACTTTCCAGTTCTTTTTAATTATACACTAAAACCGCCACAACTTGCAAAGGATTTTAAAACATTACGTGGAATCCTTAATGATGTTTTTAAACCCAGGTATGTTCAACTACTAGGTCCAGATGTAGGATCTATAACACGTCTTGGATTTTTTGAGTCTTTTTTAAAATCGATTGAAAATAACGTTTTAAATGCAATAACGTTCCATCATTATTACCCAAGAAGTGATAATATTAGTCCTGTAAACTTTACAAGTGTTGATTATCTCGATACTTTTCTTGAATATGGATTAAAAGCAATTTCCATAGTAAAAAAATCTGTTGGTAGTCGTTTTAAAGCTCCAAATATTTGGCTTGGAGAAACATCAAGTACTACGTTTGGAGGAGTTAAAGGTACAGGAGACAGTTTTGCTGCAGGTTTTCTTTGGCTTGATAAATTAGGTCTGGCTGCTCAAATGGGAATAAAAGTCGTTTTACGACAATCATTCAAAGGTGGAAACTATTCGCTAATTAACCAGGAATTTAAGCCGACACCTGATTATTGGAGCTCATTACTGTATAAAAGACTTGTCGGCCAAATAGTCTTAAATTTAACGGGATATTTAGAGTTTGGTCGAAAAGTAAGAGTGTACGCACATTGTACTAGTGTTAGACAAGGATTATATAAGTCTGGTTCAGTTGTTTTAATTGCCATCAACGTTAACAGCAAAGAAAATGCTACAATTAATGTTACAAATAAATTAGGTTCCGATAACCAATATGTTAATCAGTATTTACTTCAACCAGCCAATGGAAACATTGGAGATGGAAATATTACGCTTAACGGTATCATTTTACAAATAGTTAATAAAACAAAGTTGCCTTTTTTGAAACCAATTCAAACAAAATTGCCATTAATTATACCTCCTTTGAGTTATGGCTTCTTTGTTTTGATTGATTCAAACGCAAAAGCGTGTATATCTACACAGCTTGAAAATAATGTCGCTTGATAAATTGGAGCATATCTTTTTTTAACAAACTCTATAGGTGCTTCATGTTAATCGTAATATAACTAATGACAATCGTAATATAGCTTATGAAAATATTGAAACAAAAATGAAAAACTAAGGTTTCTGATGCTTTTTATCCGTTACATCCGAAAGACACATATCAGACAATATATCAACAAAAATATAAAGTTCTGTTTACCTAAATAAATGCAATATTTAGGGTCTGGAAAGACTGGTTTTGCTTTAGTATTTTGGTTCATTATTATTTGATTGAGTTTTAGAATGTTTTACAGGTTTTTTTTTTTATAATCATGATGTGCAAAAATATTAGAAATATAATATTAGAATAATTACTTCGTAATATTTAATATATATTTTAATATCACAATGTAAATATTTTCCAATATAAGGACCAAGCTTTTTGTTTAAAAGTCTTTTGTCAATGTTTTTAAGTTAATAGAGAACCCAATCATGTCTTTTTTAAAGATATGGTTGTTAAATAATCTAAATAATTTTAAAGTCATTAAGAAAGAGGCACAATTTTATAATTGCCACATTTCTCTGTATGCTTATAAATATGTATATAAATATTTATCTGTATGCTTAGAACACTATGGTATTCGTGGTGTTGTTAGTGACTGGTTTTAATCTTATCTTACAAATTGGAAACAGTTTGTAAGTATTAATGGTTATAATTCTACTAATAAATCTGCTGTGTGCGGTGTTCCTCAAGGTACTGTTCTTGGTCTTCTTGTGCTCTTAATTTATGTTAACGGCATAAACAAACTTTGTTTGAAAAAAAAAAAAAAAAACGCAATGCTCAGAGGTGCCGAATAAAAAATAAATGTATAGGGAAAGTGGGGGCATAATCACATATTGAGGCACAACCGTTTTAAAACATTTATCTTGAAAAATGTTACCTAACATGGCAAAAACATACCACGCGTAAGTAAAACAGTTTCGCTTTTCTCAAAAAGAGTGCCTGATGCGTTTCTGAGAAGTTGTGCATAATAATGCTTACTTTGATAAAAATATTATGCTTACATCATATTTTTCCAGACCTTTTATTTTGAGGATTAAGCAATATTTGATTTTATTGTTAAAGATATGTGTTATTATAACATCAATCCAAACGTTACGGAGGCGGTTATACACTTCTCCTAAATAAATAAACAACACTGCCTATTTATTTAACACATTTTCAACATTTTTCAACATTTTTTAAAAAGATTAGACGTCTCATTAAAACGTTTTTATTTAGTCTAAAATTAAAAAACAAAAATTTTAATTTAGCAAGAATAGAAAAAAATTAAATTTAGAAAAAAAATATAATAATTTTTGCAAGAGGAAAAATGCTGAGGATTTTTGGGAGAATAAGGGACATGTTTTAACAATACTGCACAATTTTTGCATAAAATTTGAATCTCCGACCTAGAGATTTAAGTCAAAGTTTTAATAAGTTTTTTAGATTCTTTTGCTTCCTCGGCTTTCTTTATCTTAAATATTAGCCGGGCAAATAATAAATAAGTATGATAAATTGGGAAACTTGAAAAACTGGATATTAAAAGTTTTTTAGAAAGTGTTTAATCTGAAAAAAGGCAAGCAATAAATTTAGTGTTTTTAAAATTTTCAACTCTAAATATAAAAGTGACTGTGTATACACTGTCAAATGTTACACAAATATGAATTATTTTTCAATCGTTTAATTGGTCAGGAAACCGATAACTGTTTCGTAAGGAATTTCGTCGTATGCAACAAACAAATTTACAAAATTAGAAAAACTTGTGGGAAACTTTATTTGATACCTTAGAGTATCGGTTATGTTTGTTGGAAAGGTATTACAAACAAAGCGTCAGTTTTTGGCCAAAAATCAACCTACGCGAATGTGGGCCAGAGCTGGTATAGGTGCGGGTCCCCCTAGGACTTCCTGGCCCGCCGGGCCCTAGGCGGTCGCCTATTCCACCTATGCCAAAGGCCGCCTCTGACTATATTAACTCTTCTATAAACATAGTTTTACATTTGAAATTGATACTTGCATTTATATCTTTCTTTTTAGATTAAGATTTTATAAGTTAATAGATATATCTTGAGACATCGTATTTTTTCTTGTAAAAATTGACTTTTTTGATTTTCAAAACGTCGTAAAACCTAAAATTATGAATTGTCTTAAATATCCCTAATTAATTATGAACCTAACACAGTTAGGATCATTTGTGGAAATTTTTTATAAATGAAGTAAAATATAAATATGAGTTTATCTCTGATGTTTCCATGTGACTTTTTGACTAATTTTCAGAAAATTGGCAGTCAATTAAAAAATATATATTTTTTAATATTAAATTAAAAAAACTATTTTTTAATAAAAACTTTGTATTATTTATAATTGTTAAACTGTAAATGTTATAAAATTTTTATTTATTTGTCACGACATTTATAAAACTTTTTTAAAGATTTTATAGTTGATAAAATATATTTTATAAAAATAATATTTATTAGTTATATAAAATAGAATGAAAAAATACTTTCAAATATCTTAGCAAGTTAATAATAATAAGTTAATATAAAACTATAAGTAAATATCTTCATAAGTTTATAAATATCGTAACTTGCAAGATGTTGCAACACTAGCTACACATGTTGTTTATGTTTAATCGAGAAATACAATCAAATCATTTTACGAAGTAAGTTTATATTTATTCTACTTTATCATATTATTAGGATATTTAAACACTAAAACGTTTCATTTTATTTGGCTGAGAAAAGCTTTGTGGGAAAAAAAAACTGCTTGAAAATTTTTGAAGTTTAAAGTTTTATCTTTTTATGATTAGATCTTCATACATGTTTATATCAATTAAAATTTTTACTTGTATATTTTTGTTTTATATGTTTTTTTTAATGTTTTATTTTGTATTAATGCATTTAAAAACTATGTTTAATATGTTTTGTTTTATATGTTTTTTTTTTTACCTGTTTACATATTATTAAATTGATACTAAGTTACTAAATTGACAAATATTTTTATTATTGAGTTTTATTATTGCAACAGTTTTAGAACTAAAAGACTTCCAGGAACGTAAAGACTGGAACTACTGTGAATAAAAAGTGTAAACAGCTGCAAAAAGTATTTTAGGAATTATAATTAGTATATCTAAACAGACTGTTTGAATATGCTGTTACATTGTATTAGTAATGAACTGAAATGTTAACATAGTTTTTGGTTGTGTAAACACCCTCTGCTTTGAGGCTCTTGGTTAAGTAAAGGGCAGATATGGTGTCTAAAAATACTCATCTTAGGCAGATGTTAAACGCATCCGACTATTGTCTTGTAAAGACCTTTTATACAAACACTTAAGGAGTAAACAGATTCTCTCTGTTAACCAGGTTCGTACCCTTTCACCTATTAGGCTGGTGTAGATGTATTTATAATACATTGTTTCCAGTTTAGGGTGTTGAATGCTGGATTTTCCTGACTAAATACATGGGTTTTGCTTATGTTTCCGTTTTTATGACTAGGTAACTCATTCTATTATCTCCTAATGAGAGTACAGCACTAAAACTCAGTTTTATGGTTCTAATCCGGGCTGGTAGTCAGGTTTTAAACTCTGTGGTAGCTCTCAGAGAGGCTCATTTTATCAACAGCTTTGAAAAACCAGAGTACTTACAGTGACATGTTGCGCATGGATGGTGTCCCACACTTGGAGTTCTTTGTACGGCCTAGGGTTTACAAAGAGTAAAAAAGGCATTTGCTTAGACTATTAAATAGCCTTTGGACTATTAAATAGTCCTTGGACTATTAAATAGTCCTTGGACTATTAAATAGTCCTTGGACTATTAAATAGTCCTTGGACTATTAAATAGTCCTTGGACTATTAAATAGTCCTTGGACTATTAAATAGTCCTTGGACTATTAAATAGTCCTTGGACTATTAAACAGTCCTTGGACTATTAAATAGTCCTTGGACTATTAAAGAGTCCTTGGACTATTAAATAGTCCTTGGACTATTAAATAGTCCTTGGACTATTAAACAGTCCTTGGACTATTAAATAGTCCTTGGACTATTAAACAGTCCTTGAACTATTAAATAGTCCTTGGACTATTAAATAGTCCTTGGACTATTAAATAGTCCTTGGACTATTAAATAGTCCTTGGACTATTAAATAGTCCTTGGACTATTAAATAGTCCTTGGACTATTAAATAGTCCTTGGACTATTAAATAGTCCTTGGACTATTAAATAGTCCTTGGACTATTAAATAGTCCTTGGACTATTAAATAGTCCTTGGACTATTAAATAGTCCTTGGACTATTAAATAGTCCTTGGACTATTAAATAGTCCTTGGACTATTAAATAGTCCTTGGACTATTAAATAGTCCTTGGACTATTAAATAGTCCTTGGACTATTAAATAGTCCTTGGACTATTAAATAGTCCTTGGACTATTAAATAGTCCTTGGACTATTAAATAGTCCTTGGACTATTAAATAGTCCTTGGACTATTAAATAGTCCTTGGACTATTAAATAGTCCTTGGACTATTAAATAGTCCTTGGACTATTAAATAGTCCTTGGACTATTAAATAGTCCTTGGACTATTAAATAGTCCTTGGACTATTAAATAGTCCTTGGACTATTAAATAGTCCTTGAACTATTAAATAGTCCTTGAATTATTAAATAGTCCTTGGACTATGAAATAGCCCTTGGGATATTAAATAGTCTTTGGACTATTATATAGTCTTTGGACTATTTAATAGCCCAATATTATTAGTAGGCTATTAATAAGTTATTAAATTGTCCTCGGGCTATTAAATAGTCCTTGGACTAATTAATAGTTCAAGAACTATTTAATATTTCAAGGACTATTCAATATTCCAAGTACTATTTAATAGTCCAAAGACTATTTATTAGTCCTAGGACTATTTAATGTTCCTTTTAATTGCTTATACTATTTAATAATACAAGATCTATTTAATAATTCAAGGACTATTAAATAGTCGAAGGACTCTTCACTAGTCCTTTGACTATTTCATAGTCCAAGGACTATCAAGTAGTCTTAGGACTATTTAATAGTCCTTGGATTATTAAATAGTCATTGGACTATATTTATTAGTCCTTGGATTATTAAATAGTCCTTTGATTATTAAATAGTCTTTGGACTATTTCATAGTCCTTGGATTATTAAATAATTCAATGACTACTAAATAGTCCAAGGACTATTTCATAGTCCGAGAACTATTTTATAGTCCAAGGACTATTTCATAGTCCAAGGACTATTTTATAGTCCGAGGACTATTTCATAGTCTAAGGACTATTTCATAGTCCAAGGACTATTTCATAGTCAAAGGACTACTTAATAATCCAATATTTATTAATTTAATAATTTATTTAATAATTTAATCATTTTGTGGATATGATCTTTCTGTTTGTGTATTAGGGCTAATCCAAGGACTGTTTAATAGTCCAAGGACTATTTAATAATCCAAGGTCTATATAATATTCCTTACATTATTATTAATCCAAGGACGATTAAATAGTTTAAGGACTATTTCATAGTATAAGGGACTACTTAATAATCCAAGGACTGTTTAATAATCCAGGGACTATTTAATAATCCATTTAATAATTCTCATTAAATAGTCTGAGGACTATATATTAGTCTAATATTTAATAATTTAATAATTTATTTAATAATTTAACAATTTTGTGGATTAGATCTTTCTGTGTTTGTATTAGGGCTTTAGTGAAGTTCCTGTTGATAATATCAAGATGGTACCCCTTTTTAAGCCAATATCGTTGTTGGAGACTTTAATGCTCATCACACCAAATGGTTTTAGTGTTATTGACTCTCATTGTGCTGCTCCAATCTTTACTATTTTTTCATATCTATCAGTAAAACAGTTCTCCAGAAAACAGACGTTTGTTTACTACTGCTAAAAACCAATGTAAAAAGGATATCTAACACCAAAGCCTGCTATTCTTAGGTCACGAAGTCTCGTATTTCATATCAAAAGTTAGGTATTCTTGTGCCTTCTGGAGATTCTTTAACAGTATTTATAATAAGTGCAAATCTGTTATTCCACCTCTCTTGTACGGTTCAGATTTTTACAACTCACCTAAATACAAAGCTGAACTGTTTGCTAAGAACTACTCATCAATATCATCTCTTGATTCCACTAGTCGCGTTCTATCTGATATAGTCAAGAAACAGGTTAATTCATAGCCTGACCTTCTTATCATACCCGGTTCTGAATCTAAAGTGATTTCCTACTGAGACTCTTCTATAGCTTGTGGTCCGGAAAACATATCTTTTATAGTCTTGCAGAAGTGTTCTCCGGAGATGTCATCTATACTTTCAAAACTATTTTTAACTTATAATTATGTTATTGAAATCTGTATAAGTTTTTTGTTATGATTAATTAAACAATTTTATAAATTTAAAATCATTTTTATGAAAAAACTTTCCTTTTACATTTATTTTAGTTATTTGCTAGTTATATAGAAGTACAAACATACACGTATTGCATGTTTGTAAGTATGCTTTTATTCTATTTAGGTGATTTAGTTATTTTTAAAAAAAGTATGGAAAAAAAAAGAGCGCGAAGCTCTTCTTGTATAACTCGGAAAAATGAATATCCATCTAGTTATACGAAAGACTATAAGAGAAAACTTCGAAAGAAAGCAGAATCCTTCCGGTTGGTTCATGGAGAATTATTTCATATCGAAAATGAAAAAAAAAACTACTACGTATGGTAACTGGAGAAGATGAACGAAAACGCATAATACAAATAAATACAGCAACATAGTTGGAGGATGAAAACCGCATAATACAGCAACATAGTTGGAGGATGTCACTTTGGACAAAACGCCACTATTAATAAAGCAACTGATAGGTATTAATGGAAGTCGATTTCAAAAGACATACGCAAATTTGTAGCATTCTGCCCTGTATGTCAACGTGCAAATCCTAACAACAAACCATCACTTGCGACGCTCTATCCAACCCTAGTACATGAAATACTTCATCGTTGGAAAAATTGATCTAATGGTTCTTTGAAAGAAACTAAGAACGGAAAGAAGTATATTTTTAGTAGCAACAGAATACCTGACTAGATGGGCTGAAGTTGATTCCATAATAAAAAAAGATGCGGATTCTTTTCATTGTTTCATTCTCCGTCTGGTATTCAGATTTGGGACTTGTAACATTCTACTTCACGACCAATGACGCAAGTTTTGTAACAAGCTCATGGAAGATCTTTTATTGATATTAAATATGGTATCCGCCAAAACATCAGCATACCATCCTCAGACTAATGGACTGATAGTTAGGCGATAAATGGTTATACTTTATTTTATCTTTGTGCAGTTTTAATATTAATATCTAAATTTGTTTTTAGTTTAAAAAAGGGGCATTAGTTATTAGCTTTTAATACAACAGTTACATACTGTAGCTTGTTAGTTTATTATGTACAATAGGTTTAACCAAACATTGATTACCTACATTTTATATTTTAGATAACTTATTTTATTTGTATTGTTTTCTTAAACCGAATTTGCTGTGTATTTTATATTTTTTTGAAATGATTGGTTTATTATTATTGTATTGTTAAACGGTTCTCGGTAACAGGACCTTACCGATCTGTTCTTATATATTTCGTACAACGGCATAAAATACTGTTAAAAGAACAAACAAAAGTTCTAATAAAAAGATAGTATTAAAAATGCAACATAATATAGCTAATGTATGTTCAAGTATGTCAAAAGGGCAAGATTGTAGGCTTTTAAAATAAAAGACTTTTAGGATTTTAAAATAAAAACAATTCTACACTTTATTTGATATACGAATATTCAGTGCAGTGGCAAGTTATTTGGTGGCCCTCCAAAATCTATCATTAGTGCCCCACTTTCTTAAAAATTTTACAACAATAACAAAAAAAAAGCTTCTTTAGTTTATAAAAGACCCATAATTTTGCAAATATACTTTTAAGCCATATCTAAATTTTTTAAATTACATTTATCTTTATTTTTCAGTATTGTTAAATATAATACATATATTTCAGTCAGTATTATATATATGTATTATATAAAATATATACATATATTTCAGTCAGTATAGTCAGATATAAAGTTCGGGTTTGATATTATAGATAGCATAATTGATTATTGCAAAAATAATAATGTGTTTATTTAAAACTTCGTATTTTTTACCTAGGATATCCATAGTTTTTCCATTCACAATACTAAATAAAAAAATAATAAATTACAATGGCAGTCTCTTCTTATTCATTTGCAAGACTCTTGGCAGAGGTAAAAACGGTTTACAAAATAAATTAATATACAAATTTTAATAGACAGCTCTTGTTTATTTGTTTATTTATTTAAATACGAATAAAGAAACATTACAACAAACCGACATCAAAGACAGTAGGAGAAATATTTTAATATTTAATTTATACAGGTTTTAAGAATTTAAGTTAAAAGTTTAAATCCAGCATTCCGGCTGATTTACCCTATTTCCGATTGCTAGCGGTTAACGTTACCATAACTGGAGTTAACAAATCCAAACTTAAAATAATCTACAATTAGTTCTATGGTTTTTTCTGAAATCTGATTTTTAGTTTTAGTTTTCTCTGCTTAACACTAAATTTTTAATACATTTAAAAACACAGTAAAAAACACAGCCAAAAATACAGGTAAATACAGATAAAAAGCCTTTAAGCGGCAAGTTGTGTTTTGTAAAAACACTTCAATAAAAAGACCGAAAGTTTTGTAAATAAACCTATTTAAAAAAACTTGCGGCAAAACTATCTAGGATCATTGGATACGTGCTGCAAATTATTGCGTGCTGCAAATTATTGCTTGCTTTGGAATTGCATAGGATTTTTTTTATTTAAAAATGAAGTTAAACATTGTTTTTTTATTTTTTATATTACTAATTGAGATTTCGTATAACGAAGGTATGAGAACAAGCTATTAATATTTTTTTGCTTTCATTTATTTTTTTATCATTTTTTGTATCTCAAAAAGTTTTGAACATGTTTAAACAATCAACTTTAAAAATATTTTAACAGCTCTAATAATATATAGGGGAAGTTGGGGCATAACCATATATGGAGACACATCCGTTTTTTAACATTTTCCTTTGAAAAATGTTATCTAATATGGCAAAAACATGCCACGCATTGGTAAAACAATTTCCTTCATTTCGCTTATGTCAAAAAGTGCTTGATACGTTTCTGAGAAGTTGTGCATAATGTTTATTTTGATAAAAAATATTATATTTACATCATACTTTTCCAGACCTTTCTCTTGAGGATTAAACAATATTTAATTTTAGTGTTAAAGGTATGTGTTATCAGCGTTATTTCATCAAGCGAAAACCATTTTTGATATCAACATAAGCCATAACCTAATAAGCAAGCTATGAAAAGTATTCTTTCTAAAAACTTTCTTCAGGGGCAGAACCGCACAACCGTATACTTTTGATATTTATTAAAGTTTGGTAATTACGAATAACAATATATACAATCGTCAAAGTTGAATGCGTTCATGCAAAAACTTGAATAGAAATTTTTATTTTTGAGATGTTGGAAATTAGATTTCGTATTTTTTTATTTGATTTTTATAAATGAGTTTTGATTAAAATTTTAGTTAAGAGTATAAACCGATATCTTATTATACTTACGTATATCTGATGATTATTATATTATTATATATTATAGGTATATAATTGTTCATTTCTTAATTTAAAAAAAAATGTGCCATGAAAAGTGTACCTTTAACAATTTTTGTAAGGGTGCAGTTGTGCCTCACAATGGGCAAAACCTTTTTTTTCACTAAGTGTACTTTTTGTGTAACAACATTTTCAAAAACCGTTTTATTTTTTTCCCAATTGCAGCAATTTAAAGCTTAATAATCTGGTTATTGAAATAAACTGTTAACAAGACACATTTCACTTTTTTTATATATAACATCAATCCAAACATTACGGGGGTGGTTATGCCTTCACTTCCCTATTCTTTTGATATAATATCAAAAAAAAGTTTTTTATTAGGAGTAATAGGAATTTTTTATTAGTAAACTAAACTTTTTATTCGGATCATTTTTTCCAGTTTTAATGGAAAGTGTGACAAATGATCCTTATGAGGCAATTAATTATGTATTGTTAATGTTATTAATTACCTTGATGAGATGATAATAATAAATTTTAGTCATTTCAAAAGAAAAAGGTAAAGAGTATGGGATGTACTTACATGGACCGCATTATCCTCATTACGCTGGAGGTAATTGAAAATATATGGATAAGAATAAACATAGAATTATTTACAAAAATTATATAAATTTATAAATAACTTTTTTATTTTTATTATTTAATAGTTAGTTAAAACTTTTTTTCAGCGCCTGCGTTCGGAGGAGTAGCACAATACCGTCATGAAAATTATGATGGAGGAGTAAAACGATATCGAATAAAAAACTAAGTAATTGCAATAAAACATTTTATATTGTACAACTAAAAGATTTTAACCAATTAAAATATTTGAAAAAATTATTTGTTTGTTTGATAAAATCTTTAATTGAGTTCATTGAGCAGGGGATTAGAATAGAACAGGTGCTTCTATTGTTGAGTGGGCATTAAGAGCAAAAAGTTTAATAAGTTCTAGAGGGGTTACCTCCGGTGGTGAAGTTCTTTTAGAGGTTAGAAGCCCTCCCCGCCAACTCAAGATTAGCGTCATAGTAAGTGCAATTAGTTTTCTCTCTTCTTATTTCCCCATCCCCCTGCCCCCCGGCTGTGGTAAATCCTTAGCCACCAAAGACCGACCTACATTATTACTAGACAATTTTTATCAAATTTTGTTTATTGGCTGGTTTGGCTACGGCACCTTGCAGTATCGATTTCGAGATCACACAATACTCGTTTTTCTATATTAACTTTTTATAATTGATTCATATAGTGTAACTGAATTTCTCAAAGATTATATGGCATTGTACTATAACATAATTATTCAGGGCCGCCCCGAGCGGGGCGTAGGGGTGTCTAGCCTCCCTTCGAATTTTATTAGTCGGAAAATTGGGCGCTAAAGTCAGTAAAGTTAGATTTATAGTTGGCAGTCGGAAAACAAGGACCTTTTTTTTTTTAGGTAAGTTAGTAGGCAAAAAAAAATTTTGGGCTTTTGTCGGCAAATAACAGAAACTGCACCCCCCTTCCTTTAAAATCTCTTCGGGACGTCCCTGTATTTATTATTCAATTCTTCATTTGGTATTGCAAATTTAATTTCACCATTAATGCAAAAATCTATCAAACAGATAGACTTTTAAAGTCTATCTGTTTGATAGACTTCAAAAGTTATCCCTTAAAAAATGCACGTGCACCATCAATTTAAAGAATTTTTGCATCACTTATTTAGATGATTTATTTTGTGTTGACACTTCATTGATTGAACAGGTTAAACTAATCTATTGTTGATTATCTGTTTTTTTTTTTTTGTGTTTAATGCAATTAAATTTAAAGTACATGTTTTTTTTCTTTTTTTTTCTTCTAATTAAGGTGCCCCAAGAAGTCCTTGCGGTCTTATCACAAAGCACCGCGGATGAGCATTTAATAGAAAGTTCACGCCTCCTTCCCAACCAATGTCGCAAAACTTGCCCAGAGGTGGGGTTTGAACCACGGATCTTACGCTTCTGAGGCAAGTGCTTGTAATAACATAAAATGTAATAACATAAACTTATCTTTTAAGTTTCGGCAACCGTGATGTTGCAGTAATTTAAAAAAACAATCAATGCGATCTTGATCAGAACTACAAAGTCTTACTTAATCAGCAATAAAATCGAATAGTTGAAAAAATAGTCCGGGTGTAATTTAAAAATAAATAGTTAAAATCATAAACCTCGGAACTAATATTTTATTTAATGATTTTGAATCAATAATTTCAAATTACATTTTCATAGTAATTGAAGTTTTTGTATAATTTTTTATTTCTAGAATTTCATTTTGTCCAAATAGTCTTAGTTCTATAACATGTTTTTTAAATGAATTTGTTGAGCTGTAATTTTAGGATGAATAATTATTAATTGATTCTTATTGATTTTACTGTTTTTATTTTAAAATAGAGCTATTCCAATTATGAAATCAAAGTTTTCAAATTTAGTAGGTTGCTTGTATGTATTAATCAAATCAATAGTTTTCATAGAAAATCCATTTTCGGTTAAAAATGTTTATTACTTAAATATTCCAATTAAGGCAACTCTCCAAGTTTGAGATAAAAAAAATCCCCTAAAATATTTAATATACTTTTCAATAAAATTAATCACATATGCCTTAAGCGTTTTTCAAATTACAACTATAACCAACCTAAAAAGCGTTACTTGGCTACGAAGTTCTTTATTACCACTAGAGGTTCTAAACTATTAAATACTTTATCGAGCAGTAAAAAGTTATTGTTTCCTTTTTCTATACAAACAAAAAATAAAAATAAAAAACTTCTCATTGATGTTAATGAATTAAACTTTTTCAAAGGTCTTTTCTTTAAAATACCTTATTACCCTTTCTTTACGTTTTTAGTTTTGACCTTAAATTTAAATCTAATTTATAATCAAGATTTTAAACGATCAACTAGATACTGCTGATATAATTATTTTTTTATTAATTATAATAGCAAAATCTAGTTATTGAATTTAATTTTATAATTATGTTAGTAATATCTATAAATATTTACTATAGTAATTAAATCTAATTTTTAAAGTTTCTAAAAGGTCTACTAGGTATCACTATTATAATTATTTTTTTTATAATTATTAGATTTTTTATCTAATAATTATTAATTATTAGATAACTATAATAATTATAATAAAAAATATATTAGCTTGTATCATTATAGTTATAATAATAATTATATTGATACGATAAAAGAGTAATCTTAACTATGAACGTATATAATTTTTAAACGTTACTCAAAAATTTTATTCACAATACGTTTTATTATTTGTATGACAGGCTTTACAATGAAAGCACGTCACACCTTACTGTGTATTGTGTATTGATAAGACAAATATTGTCATTTTTTTGCTCTAGTCATGCAGTTATTATACATATTACACGAAATTTTATGTTTGTTTTTTTACTGACAAAACAAACAATATATATTTAAAAGTAATAATATAATTTGCTTCATTAAGAGCCGTTTTTTCTAAGAATCAGGCAAATTCCTGAAACTGTGGAAGTGACCTCGTCCAAATTGCTTGAATTTTTTATATATTGATCAGAATATAGAGAAAACCTGTTATGGAAAAAAAAAATTTCAAAAATGTTTCGTTCACTCGGAATCTGGGCTTAAATTTTTGAGATTTTTTTAAAAATTTTTAGAAATTTAGTTTTTGCCACCTTTGAACCCATTTTTTTGGCAAGGCAAAAAGTTGCACATAGCTTTTGTAGTTAATATCAGACGTAACCCAAAAGCATTCTCCAAAAAATATAAAAAAGTTGCGTGACACTGTGCGGTTGGCTAATTATCATAGTTCAAAAGAACAAAATCAATCAGTTTTGTCAATTTTTAATCGGAGTTATTTCTAGCGGCGAAGTGTTGCACACAATTTTTCTTTTAGGATTTGAAATTATCACAGGTATTGAGTCTAAAAATGCAAAGAAAGTTATGTGATACCTAAGGCCTATTAATATATTAAGGCTTGAAATTGGAAAAAAATGTTTTAGTATACTTACAAAATGAGCTATTACGGCAGAGGCGCTTAGTTTTGTAAAAATGTAAACATATCCAACTGTCAATACAAAAAGGTCCTAACATAATAATAAAAAAAATTCGTGTGATTTTGTCACACGCATGATATAACATGAATTAAAAACTGAACAAAAATCTAACATCAAGATAACTATATTGCTAATTAAATAAAACATAAATCAAAATTTTAAATGTTTTTCCATTCAAAAATTAGTTTTTCATTTATTAATAGAGTCATTTACACACATTATCCACCACATCACACATAATTTCTACTCTGCTGCAGTAAGTTTCTCTAAGAATAATGATATGACTGTATTATAGTCTTCTTCGGATAATGAATAATCGCCACAACCACTGATTAGAAAAGGAGCATTTACTAAACAGATAATTTTATCAGTTTGGTTATTTATCTCCTCGGTAGTAACTGGCCAGCGAAAAGTATTCTCTTGCCCGTTAATCATACAATTAACTCTGATCCCAGTTATGGATACCTAAAAGTATTAGCGCAACATTTAAAATAATATAATAAAGAGTTTATGATTTGTTTAATTTTGCTTAAATTCAATAAAACTTGTAAAGTCTTATATAATGTCATTCTGAAATTATTTTTACATTTTATTTATATTCCTTTTATTTTAGAGCACTGTTTTGTAAAACAAAATAAAAACTTGAAACTAATATATACTTTGAATAATATTACCTCCACAATATATCCAATATTCCATTGTTTTTCATATGCAACAGCAACCCAATCATTCACTTTCCATACAAGACGAATTTCTTTTGCAAGATTGGCGATGTCTTCCTCATATTTATTATCATCTTCATTGTCTCTTGTCAGATTAAAGTCATCATTTTCGCCATAAACTTCTTTTTTATCGTTAACCTGACTATTTTCATTATTTTCTGTTGTCGGTTCTACCAGCTTACCTTTTCTTTTCAGGTTACTAAATCTATAACAATATCAATTGTACATATTTTTAAACATATGTAAACAAACACACAAAATTTTAACTTTCACCTAAATTTTAATTTCATATTTGTAAAAGAACTATTTAACAGTCAGAAACATAATCTAATTTGCAAAAGTTTTGATAGCAACAATCCCTACCTTGAAAATAAAGATCTTATCTGTTGGCTAGTTACATATTGATCAGGCGGAAGTTCTCTCCTCAGCAGCATGTGAACCTGCTCAGGGCTCATTTTATTACCTGATTCTTCTCCACGAATAAAGTATTTATACAACAGTTCTTTCTGCTGATTTGAAAATCTAAAAGAACTTCGAACTGGTAATGCCCAACCTTGCAATAGAAAAATGTTCATGCAATGTGATTTGTCTTTTACGGAAGCACTGTTAGAGGATGAAGAAATTGGCATATTTAGTTGTGAAGTAATTTTCATCTTATGAACAAACGAGTTGCGAACTTTATCCAATGATGTTAATGATTTCGGAACTGTATGAAGACCGGATAGCATGTGTTCTTCTAACTCAGCATCGCTTTCAAATGATAAAGTACAATTCATTTCAGTGCAAAATCTTAATGAACATAATTGCCTGTCACTTCTTTTCTTTTTTTCCTTAAGTGACTTGTTACGCTTAATTGAATTATCTGTTTTGCTATATGGCAACAACAACTTAATCGAGGGTTGAATTTTAAGATTTCCATACTCTTGTTCAATTCCCTCACCGATATTGAAATAATGCCACATCTTCATACTTTTCTCACCAAACTCAAATGAGTGATAGTTGCTAATGTTCTTAATCTTTGGTCCAGTAACTACAGTTTTATCATTGCTAATTTGAGCAACTGCTACTTTTGCATCTTTAGCGCCAAAACTATAATGCATAGCCTTGTGTATATCTTCAGCAGTCAAAAGATTATTACCAGAGTCAACGTAACTCCTTAAAATTGTCTTTACAACTGCACTCTCCCTGTCACATTGATCTTTTCCACAACAGGGTTCATTATAATCATATCTCAGCAACTTTATATCTCTCTCTTTGCATACATTGTAGATTGCTTCAGCTGAAAGATTTCCCTGATAGCAGCCGGCATTATCAGATTTGGTAAACATTTTCTTGATATGCGGTTGATCAATTCTGAATTGGTCTAAAACTGCAGTGGCTAACGAAACAACATCATCTATTCCCTGATCACACCTATACATTGAAGTAAAGTAAACACGTTTGAATAACTTTCCTGCTATTTTTATGAAGAATATGTAAACTCACATGTAAACTCCACATGTAAACTCATTCCTTTCTTGCTGAAATACTCTCTTGGGCCCTCTCTGTATCGAACCGGAAGAATTTTTTGACAAAAATCTTTAAGCCAGAAAGCAGTTTCATCGTTTAATTGCTTAAAAGCTTCGATTTTTGCCTTTTTCTGTTGAGAATCTCTCATCAGGTGTTTTATGCAGTTGAATACATCTTTTACAGCAATTTCCAAATCATAAATAGAATCAGCATCGTCAGAATTTTGAATTGTTAGTTCATTGATCATCTCGATAGCTTTGCACAAATCATAGCAATCGGCACATACCACTTCTGATATCTCTGTGTTGGATTGAAGATTTTTTTCAGATAATCTGATAAGGCATGTTTTGAGCTATGAGAAGAAATGTTTGAGTCATTGACACTACAATTGGTTTGATAACTTGTTTTCAAATACCTTTTTCCTTTTTCAAGGGCAGCTTCGAGAGATTTAGAACTAAATCTTTGTGCCAATTTTTGTAATGTTTGAAAACCATTCATGCCTGACGCAGTAACATCATCTAATCCAGCTAAGCTTTTTCGACTTAAAGGTTTTATTGCATGCAATACTTTCCACAAAATTGAATCAGATAATGGTATATAATTGTTTTCACTACAACTTTTTCGATAGAACATGATAGCGTGGCTATATTTTGTCTTCAGTATTGCATGCACTATCTTTTGTTCTTCACCGCTGTCGTATTTTAATTTGGTTATTCCATAAGCAACATCATGCAAAATACCGCTTGTAAATATAAAGTCTAAGAAATGTTCACACTTTGTTTGATCAAGACTAGATCGGACGAATACTTTCTTCTCTGGAAATGCTAACCCTTTATGAGATGCATGCCATTTTCTTGCTGTTTCTATACGATGTTTGGTACACTCAAATGTGTTCATTATAAACTTTTTGGTATACTTGTTATGGTCTAATAATGAGAGGATAACTAACCCTCCCATAGAATCACTTTGCTTATATACTTTCTGAGCACGAATAATTTAAATTGGGAGAGGGCTATTCATTTCATCAACATTTTTACTGTTAAGAAAATCTATAAGTATTTCCTCTTGTCCAGGAGCAACAGCTTCCGCAAATTTTTTCTTTAATAAGTTTTCTAGGCGAACATACTTGCGTTTTAACTTATCTTTAGTAGTATCTTCCAGATATTCGAACTTCCTTTTTAATCTAAATTTTATTGGACTTGCATTAAGAACCTCAGTTACACTCTCACGGCTTCTTAGAGATTCGCCCAAAATCTCCTGTGAAACATTAATTTCATCGGGATCAAATTCTTTATCTGGAGTAGCAGGTGTCATATATGTTTGTTCTTGTTGTGTTTGTGTTTCTGTACATAAATTGGTGTTTTCGTTGACTCTAGATAAAGCAGTTTCTTGCTTTAAATAGGTAAAACACAGCATTGCACCAACTGAAAATACTTCATTGTATCGCTTTGACATTGATATGACGACATGTATTGGTGACGCCCTTAAAGCGGGAGATTTTTTTCCTTTTATATTTAGATGGTGAGGATGAAAGCATATTTTTGGAGGACTCCATGCAATACCAAACGTGTACCGGTGAAAAGCACATATTTGTTCATCCTTTTCAAGATTTCTTTTAAGTCTATTTGAAATTATTCCATTTTCTTCCCAAATATAATTATCGTTTAATCGCATGACCTAAAAACAATTTTTTAAACAATTATTAAGTGTGTCATTTAAAGCATTGTTTATAATCTGACTCTTCACGAATTTAGCGATTATTTATTAAAAGAGCGAGGAATTAATTAAAAGAGCTATTTTTTTTTTGTTTAAAGAACTTTGTCTCAAAATCTTATTGCAGAGAAGTTATAAAGTATGTAATTATAAAAATTATATTACAGTCTGCGTAAATTTAAAATACATAATTACCTTTAAGTTGATGAGGTGTTTCTTAACATCAACATCTCCCAGCTGATGAATGTAGAACATTTTGTTTATAGTTTTATGTTTTTTGAATGATCCACAATTTCCTTTTGAAAAGCAACAACAGTTTTCATAAAAATATTTGTTTTGTTCCATACTCAACTAAAAACAAGTTCTATTTATTTAGTACCTATTTCTCAATAGCAATGATAAAATATCTACTCTATTTATGCAAACTTTAAAGATCGTTAAAATAAAGTTAAGATATTTTTATGGTAAAGTAAACAACCGCCCACTAACTTGTTTTTCCACAATCGTGATATCAGCGATTCTTTTTCCATTCGATCACCACAAGTTATTTGGTTATGACGTAAGTTTAAATAATTCACTTCTGATCATGTATTGTTTTTTATTATTATTTATTTCAATTGTTATGATTTCTATATCATAGTCAGAAACGCTTAAATTTTTTCTTAACATTACGTGCAATGTTTTGTGTAATGCTAATTGCTAATTTTGGATGATAGAAATTTTATTGTGAGCGAAAACCTCATCTGCGTGTCCAAAAAAATATCTTTTCGTACTTAATCATTTTTAACAATTTGTACCTTTATTTTTAACTTAATATCTAAAGATCACGTGAGTTTTTTTTTAAACTATGTTAGGGTTATCTTATATTGACCATTTAACATGATTATATTTTTACAAAACTTAGCGCCTCTGCCGTAATAGCTCATTTTGTAAGTATACTATAACATTTTTTTCCAATTTCAAGCCTTAATATATTAATAGGCCTTAGGTATCACATAACTTTCTTTGCATTTTTAGACTCAATACCTTTGATAATTTCAAATCCTAAAAGAAAAATTGTGTGCAACACTTCGCCGCTAGAATTAACTCCGATTAAAAATTGACAAAACTGATTGATTTTGTTCTTTTGAACTATGATAATTAGCCAACCGCACAGTGTCACGCAACTTTTTTATATTTTTTGGAGAATGCTTTTGGGTTACGTCTGATATTAACTACAAAAGCTATGTGAAACTTTTTGCCTTGCCAAAGAAATGGGTTCAAAGGTGGCAAAAACTAAATTTCTAAAAATTTTTAAAAAAATCTCAAAAATTTAAGCCCAGATTCCGAGTGAACGAAACATTTTTGAAATTTTTTTTTTCCCTAACAGGTTTTCTCTATATTCTGATCAATATATAAAAAATTCAAGCAATTTGGAGGAGGTCACTTCCATTGACTGCCTGATTCTTACAAAAAATGACTCTTAATAAATTTCGTAGACATTTATAATGCTGTAAATCTTTGATCGACTCAGCTTTGTGGTGCAATCGTAATTTAAATATTAGCAATTTTAAATAGCTTTATTATGATTATATTATTATTGATTACTGCTTTTATAGAGTATTCTTTTCAAACACTTGATCATGTAAATATTTAAAACCAAAACTGTTTGTATTATGCAAACATTGGATTAATACTTCCAAAATGTTTCCTTTGTTGAAACTGTTTGTTAGCTCAAGTATTCTAAATTCTGTTTCAGCCTACTTGCATAAATACATCAAATCAGCTAATACATTTATTTAAATTTAAAACTTTTGTTCTTATAAAAAAAATAATCTTTCAGAGTCACACGTGTAAGGTGTTTTCATCTGAAGTCAAAATTTAAATTTGAGGAAAGTTTCAAAAGATTTGAGAGACTTTACGCTAATTGAAAACGAATACAAAACAAAAATATATTTAGCTAAAAATGTTTCAAGTTTTTAAAATATGAATCGGGTGATTGCTGAAGTAAAAAAACTTAGATTAGATGCAACCCGATCATCACAGACTGCATTGTTATAATGTGACTAAAACATGGAGAAAAGGACATCATATTTATACCGTTTTTTTAGCTAAATCTAAACACACAATTGTTACATGGGTCTCATGGTTTTCAAGAAGTAAAAGCACTGGATTAGCTTGTGAACATTTTACATTTTGAATAAAATATTTGATTCATTCTAAAAACGTTGCAAAATTTATCCAACCAGTTGGGTTTACAACCTGAACATATCCAGGTGGACCACCATTTATCATATTTCTTTTGAAATAAACTCTTGAAAAAACAAAAAAGGGAGGAATTAAGTTTTCTATTCCATTAACTGCAGAATAAATTGTTACCAATTTCCCTCTTTCTACTGAAGTTCCAACTTGCTTATCTCCTTTAACAGCAATTACTTTAACAAGTTTTTGAACAGTTGTGAGACCTTTTTCATCTACATTATAAATGTTTTGTGACTGAAACTTTTCTTGCAGAGGTACATCTTTTAGGTAAAAATTATCTACCTTTATAACAATTAAAAGCAGTTGCTCGTACCATAATAGTAGCTTCTTGATTTTGTAATGATAACTCATTCCTACGGAACATAAAACTACAAAGCCACTGTTTCTTAGCAATTCCTAAACTTTTCAAAGATTTGGGAATGCGCTTAGAAAGAGTCATTGTAAATTTATAGGTAAAGTTTTGTGTTGTTTTGCTTAACAATCCATAGTGAATTTTTGAAGCCCTTAAAAGATAGTCTAATAAATATATTTCTTCTTCGTTTCTAAAGATTTGTATGGTAATAAAATTAGCTTTGCAGACTGTATTTGGATTTAATTGACTTTTACTTACATATCTCTATGGCTCTCGCAAAAATGTAATTTTTTCTCTCAAAAGTATAATTATCATTGTAACTAAAATGAAAAACACAGAGTCATTTTTATAAAAATTAACTGCATAAGCTGCAATGCTTTTTAAAACGCTTGTTTTGATGCAAAAAAGTGAAAATTAAAAAAAATTTTAATGCAAATGTTTTTGATTAGTTTGAACTTTATGATAAATATAAAATTATTACAAATAAAAATTATTACACTGAATTATTGCATAATAATTTTTATTTTATGTAATGAATTGTGTATTTTATATATTATTTACTTAAATGTATTATTGACTTTTATGGTGATCTTTTTAATTGTAATAATTCTTAAATTGCCTGCATTCCTATTAAAAAAAGAAAATAAAAAAGATTTTTCATAAAAGTTTTATAACTCTTTGTCAAATTTTTAATCAAATAAATAATGTTGTTAATAAATAAATGGATAGCTAATGTGAAAACCCAATGACGACGGTCGACTCAAGATATTTTTCACTGTGTTTTTGTAACATTAACGTTATAAACATGTGCTTGTAACAAGTGTTAAATCGAATTTTTTTTTTAATAAGCAACTTTTTTAATGAATAAACAGAGCGGTCGCGCAAAAACCAAAAGCTGTTTTAAGAAGCTATTTAGAGGAGCAGCTCGCATAGCTCGCCATGTTTGTTTTAGAAGAGCTTTTCTCCGCTCTCGCACTCATTTACTCCAGTTGAGGCCTATATATATATATATATATATATATATATATATATATATATATATATATATATATATATATATATATATATATATATATATATATATATATATATATATATATATATATATATATATATATATATATATATATATGATGACTGTTTATATATATGATGACTGTTTGATATATATGATGACTGTTTGATTGTCGGTGACTTTAACTTCCCGAATATAAAGTGGTCTAACGATGGTATTGAATCTTTTAACCCAAACAATCCTACCGAGTATGATTTCTGGAATATTTTCCAAAACAGCCTTTTTACTCAACATATCACATTTCCTACTTTCCAGACTGATTATGGTTCCTCAAATAATATGTTGGACTTGTTATTTACCTACAACAGTAATTCTATTTTAAACTTGTCTCCTAGTACTATACTAGGTAACACCACTAAGGGTCATTTTAGTATCACTTGGAGATTCTTAGTTTCAGAACTGTTTACCGAAAGTGAATCTCAATCGTTTAATTACAAAAAAGGTGATTACGATTCAATATCTAACTTTATTGCATCAATCGACTGGGAGTTTTTATTCCTGCATAAAACTGCAGATCAAATGTTCAATATACTAATTTCTAACTATCGCACTGCTTGCACATATTTTATTCCCAAGCTTAATAAAACAAAAAAAAAGTATGATCCTTGGGTTACCCCACATATTAAAAACCTGATCCAAGAAAAAAAATCCGCTTGGCATATAAACTGCTCTACCAAATGGGAGAATAGTGAGCTTAAAATAAAATACAATCGCCTTAATTGTTCAGTAAAAACTGAAATATTTAAAGCAAAAAAAGCACATGAAAAAGAAATAATATCAAAATCCCAAAACAACCCAAAAATCGTTTACAAATATATCAACAAACAACTAAAAATTAAAGATAGAATTCGCTCTCTCAAAGATACTTCAGGCAGAATTATTGAAGCTCTTCCTGATATAGTTGATCTTCTGAACTCTCAATTCAAATCTATGTTTACACTTGAAAGCTCTGAAAATTTTCCTTTGCTAAATAAAAGTGGTATTCTTTCTGAATGCATTTATAATGAAAACTTGGATTTCTCTATCTCAGATATTATTCAGGAACTTGCCGATCTAAAGCCTTATAAATCCTTCGGATCTGACGGCTTGCATCCTTTAATACTCAAGATATGTGCCAAAAGCTTTGCAATTCCATTAACAAAAATCTTTCATAAATCCTTTAATTCTGGAGTAGTACCCACTCAATGGAAATTAGCAAATATTAGTCCGATCTATAAAAAAAAGGGAGATAAATTACTTGCTGAAAACTATAGACCTATTTCACTAACATCTGTTGCCTGTAAAATCTTTGAAAAACTTGTAAAGAAAAAAATTTTAAAGCACATTAACGATAATAAAATGCTCTCTGCAAATCAACATGGCTTCCTTTATCATAAATCATGCGTAACTAACCTAATAGAAACTTTTGATATCATTTCGTCCTCCATAGCATCTCACCAATTTATTGATGTAATCTATCTTGACTTTGCCAAAGCGTTTGACTCTGTACCTCACAACAGACTTTTGTTAAAATTAAGATCTTTCGGAATAAACGGCAAACTCCTACAATGGATTAAATCTTTTTTAGTGGGCAGAAAGCAACGCGTTACAATTAACAATACCAGCTCTGCATGGGTTGATGTTCTCAGTGGTGTTCCTCAAGGTTCTGTTCTCGGCCCGCTCCTCTTCATTCTCTACACAAATGATCTCGCAAAACTCATGAAACTTCTGAGATATTTGCCGATGATACTAAACTTTTTTCTAAAACCTTATCGCAATCTAATTTTGTTGATCTGCAGGATCGTCTACGCTTGGTATACGAGTGGTCAAACACTTGGTTACTTAAGCTAAA